CACTTTAGACCATATGGCTAGTTTTCCAATTGTTTTTTGTTTGTTTTTAATAAACCAGCTATTCAGCCATCAGAGAGTCTTACATTTTGTAGATTTCTTCTAGTTGAGGTCGAAAGGTCTTAGATATTAGGAAAGGCAGGTACGATGTCCTAACATTTTCATAGTAGAGCTTACAAATGAATTTATCTAAATAGGTTACCTTTAGTGTGTAGCACCAGTACAAATAGGGGTTCCATTAGTCCTTGAACTTGATGAAGCAGTTATAGGTAATCTCTTATTTTGCTCTAAAAGTTGTCATTTCAGGCCACGTTATTTTCTCTGAGCAGTTTCTGTTGTAAGGTTGAATATCCTTTCTTTATGCAAATCATCACTAAAGGTTAAAATAGTCAAATAAGAGTTAAAAATAAGTTGTGTTTGTTTTTCCTGAAAATAATGGTGAACCTATTGTCTGTATTATGGATATTAGGCAGAAATGCACTTGTTTCAATCATAGCAGAAATTACATTTGGAGACCATAATTACTGGATTTTCTAGTGGTGTGAAATACTTTTTAAAAAACTGTGCTTGTCTGTAGCCAAAATGTTACAGAATTGTAACACTATAGGGATTATAGTTATATTAGCTCTCCTCAAGAGATTGAAGCACAATAATTATCATGTAAAAGTTCTTATACAAGTGCTGCTAATCTGTCGTGAAAATAATGAAGCTATTTGGTTGCCTAGCTATTCACAAATTACTGTAATCCTTGAAACGTAGTCTTGTTGCTCATTGTATTAAATTTGGGGTATTGTGGGTTAATACTTTAGAACAAAATCCATTAACTTAGCTCTGAGAGACAGCAAACCATTTGAATTTATTAGTTTTACATGTATTATCAGTAGAATAAATTTTGAAGGGGCTACTTACTACCAATGACTAAGGGGTAGAATTATATTGTCAGTATCATTTGACTTGAACTTCTGTGGTCTTGTAAAAGTCTTGTCTGTTGTATTTCCAGATTGCTTAAGCCATACATACTTTGTAAGGATTTTTTTTTGTAATGTTCTTTTTCAGCAGCCTTTTCCTGCTTTGTCTGTTATTGTTAATACTTCATTGATTTTAGAAATTGACAGGTTATTGAAACATTTTGAGTTCATAACTTTTGACTCTTGTATGTGTGATTTGTCATAAAGAATAGCAAGCCTTTCACTACTTCACTAAATGAATTCCAGAGTAAACACTGTGATTCTGCAGAGTGGATTCTGTAGGCCCGTCTTTCCAATGTTTTCTTCTTTTATATGGTGCCTACCACCTTGAGAGCGTTTAAATACTAGTTGATGGAAATTTAAACATTGTCATTTTTATGTTTATTGAATAACAAGATTACAGAATATTTGATTTTTGTTGTCCGTGTATTGAAAGCATTTTTTTGCATTGATAAATGTTCTCTAGGAATGTGACTAACATTCATCTGTGTGAACTCTTGTAAATGAATTTTGTATCTTGGATCCACGTATATATTAAGTGTATCAATATGAAAATAAACATTATTTGGTTAAAGTTTTCTTAAGCATTGTTGACAACCTAAGTTCTAAACTCTTAGGGTTTTTTGTTTTTTTTTTTTTTTTTTTGCTTCTTTCAGATAATACCTGACATTTTAAACTCTTTTGGGGTTGTGGATTCAATGATTACTCTCCTAGTTTGTATATTTTTTCTACGTGTTGGTCTTGTTTCTTTCCCCTCCCCTGCCCCAGGCGGTCAGAACTGGGACCCGCGGAGGGAGGGATTGTTCCGGGGAGGAGAGGAAGCTGCTGGTTCCCCCGCTGGTGCTGGGTCTGGGTCCGGAGCCGGAGCAGCTTCCATCTGGAACGGTCGGCTGGGTTGGCCTCGAAGGGTCCGGAGACCAGACGAAGGCTCCTCGTTTGCACTGTAACTTTGTACACGGCAGTTTCACCCCTCTGGACTCGCCACCTGTCAAAGTTGGAAAGCCGTTAGTAGGACAGTGGATAGTATATTGCATTTTCCGAAATGCAATATAACAGACTGCACTATACAATAAGGGTATGATTCTGGAAGCTTTTCTTTAAATGGTGCATTCATTATACGTGCCCTGGGCTGCGACATAAAACGTGTAAGCTGCAGTAGGTCCTGGGCACAAAAGTGAACACACGAATCACAGGGCGCGAGGTACCAAGTACGGGCTTCCGTGTGAGGAACGCGGGGGCACGGCCTCGGAGTGGCTGCCTCCTCCTCAGTGGCCTGCGGCTGCGGAGGGTGCGTGGGGCTGGGGTGCGGGGGGAGGCTTAGCTGCTCCGGGAGGCCCCGCGCGACCACGACCCGAGCCTTCCCTCCCGCAGACCGCCCGCCGGCCGCCCCACTCCAACAGAGCTCTCCCCTCTTTTGCACGAGGCTCCTCCCCCTTCCCCATCCCGCACCGCTTCCTTAAAGACAAAAAAAACAAACAAGAAAGGCTGCGGCCACCCCGTCACCAGCCGCGACTCGGCCGCCCGCTCGCTGACGTGGCAGGCCGGCCCGAGGGAGCGAGCGCCCAGCCCCGCGCCTCCCAGCGGGCCCGGCGCAACCGCCGCCCGAGCTCGCGCCGCCGTCCGCGGAGACCGCTCCCGGGCGCATGCGCGCGGTGGGCGGGGCCCCGCGCAGTCGCTTCCGGCTCGGGCGCGAGTGCGGTTCCGGGTCGCTGCCCCCGCTCGCCGGCCGGCCGTTCGCGCTGGTGACGCGGCCTGGCGTCCGCGAGAGGCCCGGAGGCGGGGCTCTGCCGGCTGCCCCGAGAGCGGCAGGTGCGCGGGCGGGGGCCGGAGCCGCGGGCGGGCCCCTCACTCTCCCAGGGGACTGGGTCTGCGCCCACCGCGGCGGGGACGGGGCTGCCCCCAGACCCCAGGCGGGGGGCGGTGCCGGGTGCTGAAGGGCGGGGGTGGGGTCCGGCGGGCTGCCCGGTCCCGGGCGTGCGGAGCCGGTTCCGGGACCCCCCCCCCCTTACTAGCCACTCCTCTGGCCTCAGTTTCCCCGTCAGAGGGGAGGAACGTGGGTCCCGCCCTCCCTTGACAGTCCGCGCTGAGGCAGGTTTGGAAGGAGCTGGAGTGACTGGGATCCAGGCTGTGGCGGCAGGTACCTGCCTGCCTCCCTGGGCGTTGAGCAGCTGTCTTTTCCCCAACTTGGCCATCCCTCTCCTCCCTCCGCGACTCTCTCAGGGCGACTCAGGGCTCCACGTAAACACTGTGACTCAGAATCAACTGAGAAACCCTGGCCCCGGGAAATCGAGATCTCATTCAAGCTGTTTCCCCTCAGGGAATCCCAGTGCGGAGTCTTGTTTAGGCACCGACGGCAGCGAGAGGTTTCGCTCTTTGTGGTGCCTGTGAGTAAAACTCTTAGGCAAATCACAAATGCAGAGAAGACCAGGGTGAGGGAGGCCGGCTCCCTGAGGATCGTGTCAGTGACAGGTTTTTTTTTTTCTCTCTCTCTCTCTAATCGTCCTCCCTACTTTGCCAACCTGCCCAGCCCCCTCAGCGTTTGGGCCTTACCCTTGGAGAGAAATAGCCGATGCATTTTATCTTTGTCTTCATGCAGGACAGAAAACTTTGACCTCCAAGCTGTTTTAAATCTTGCAGATAAGCCAGGTGAGTCGGTGGTTTACAGACACTGAAGGTAAAACTTTTGAAGACTTGCACCGGCTTAAATGGATGGCCTGAAGAGGTAAAAAGTCATTTGTAGATGGTAGGTAGCAGGGCTTGGATATCCTCCAACAAAACATGAAAAGTTGAGGCTCCAGCCAGAGTATTCGTGTTTTATACACCGTTGGGTGGAAAAGGCATTTGAGTCTCGTTGTTGAATATCGTGAAAAGAAACTGTTTGAGGTCATTTTAATCATTCTTACAGAGAAGCACAAAGCATTTCAAGGAAACGTTTAAGGATATCTGATACCTATATAATATAGTTGTTGCCTCGCCTGGTCTTTGCCTGGTTCTGGTGAATAGCTGATTGCAAACCATCTGGGAACATTACATCATTACATCTTTTCCTCACATTGAGTTACCGATTTTCCAGCGTAAAAGACGACCCCCTAATTTTACAGTTAAAACATAGGTTTAGGCCTATATTCGCTGTATAAGACTACCCCCCACTTCTGAGGCAACACCAGTTCTTTTTTTAATAGACCGCCTCTCTAACTCAGCCAATCCAAGCAGGCTTTTTATGCATGCAAATTATACATGTTCTGTACCGGAAGCTACACTGTGTTCTAGTAAAAAGCCTGCTCAGATTGGCCATGTTTTTGTCTTCATCTTAAAGACAGCAATACTGAACTGTAGTTAGTATTATTGGGAGAGGGTTTCAAAATCATTATGTGATGTTAATATTTACCCTGGAAATTTTTACTTAATGTCCCATAGCCAACATGGTGTACTAAAGAAAAAGGGCCCTGGCTGGTATGGCTTGGTTGGTTGGAGCCTCGTCCTGTAAACCGATAGGATGTGGGTTTGATTCCCTGTCAGAGCACATGCCCAGGTTGTGGGTTTGATCTCCGATTGGGGTGTAAGCGAGAGGCAAATGGGGGGGAGGAAAAAAAAAAGTAGGGACTTGTGAGTCAGAATCCAGAGTTCAAATACCAGCCCTGCCACTTGGCCACACAATCTTTGGCAGATTACTTCACCAACTCAAGACTGAATTTCTTGATCTGTATATGCACATGAAGTGTCTGAGTGCCTTTTAAATGTTTAGTAATAGTGTTCTATTAAGTATACATGGGAAATTGTGAAACTTCATTTTGAAACCTGAAGCTTAACATAGCAACTCAGGTGTGAAATCTCTCCATTGTTTAACTCAGAGTTCTCTTTCATCTGATTTGTAGATTCTGTGTTGCCGTAGGTGACTCACATTGAAGACGGAATGCAGCTGGCCTGGATGTCTGGAACTTTTTAGACACCTGTCTTGGACTTCTTGGTTGCTGGCCTAAAGACTACTTAGTGCCTTAAGAGCTGCTCATCAGGACAGCACAGCCACACAGCAAAATGTTTGCAAAACTAAAGAAGAAAGTTGCAGAAGAGTCTGCTGTTTCCCAGAGGCCAGGAGGCGCTACTAGGATCCCCCGGTCGGTGAGCAAGGAATCTGTTGCCTCAATGGGAGCTGACTCAGGAGATGACTTTGTAAGTATCTTCATAGTTTTTAATATTTGTTACCATCTCAATATATACTTAATATTTCAGGGATCGTTCCAATATGTATGTGTATGTACATTTGTATATGTATATTTAAAAAAATATGTGTGTGTATGTATGTATATTTTTTTAAAAATATATATATTTTATTGATTTTTTTTTTACAGAGAGGGAGAGGGATAGAGAGTTAGAAACATCAGTGGGAGAGAAACATCGATCAGCTGCCTCTTGCATACCCCCTACTGGGAATATGCCCACAACCAAGGTACATGCCCTTGACCGGAATCAAACCTGGGACCTTTCAGTCCACAGGCCAACGCTCTATGCACTGAGCCAAACCTGTCAGGGCCCAATAAGTATATTTGTTAATTGAAAGGTTATTTGTAGTTATGATTTTTCATATTCTGAGGTGTTTTCCTGTTTATTTTTTCTTAGGTTTCTGTGAGTTCCTTTCCATATTCTTTACCTTGTCCTCTTTTTCCATCTATGCATCTAGTGCATCTTCTTTTCCATTTCATTTCTCAATGCTTCGGTCTGTTGTCTCTGTAGACAAATACACTTTAAGCCATTGTTGCTTAACAAGGTCTCTGAGGTGTCATGTGGAGGGAGCCAAAGTACACTCCTTTATTGGGAAAGTTGATGAAAAGATGGCACTGATGACTGCAGTATGTCCCTTATTCGTAAAGTACCTTTGTGGTTGGAAAGTTTTCAAAAAATGAGAACATTGCTGTGTAAGGTAAATATTAAACCTTAGGATTAAAAGTATGTCTTTAGCATATGGCAGGATCCTCTTAAAGTCAGATAACTTTCCCAAAATGGCTTGTAGTACTTGATATATGTAAAAAAAAAAAATGTATATAAAGTAAATGTAAAGTATAAAGCATAAAAATAAAATGACGGCTTGTTCATCTGTCACTTATTCAAAGAACTAGAACATTATTGATACTGTTGAAGCTACTCATATGCTCCTTCTCAGTTCCCTTTCCCTCTCTCCCCTCCAGATAACCACTATCCTAAATGTTGTGTTATCATTCCCCTGCTTTTTAAAATATCCTACCAGATATGAATATATTCATAAGCAGTTTGTTGTTTAATGTTGCTTATTTTTGAGCTTTATAAAAAATTATTTATTATAGTCTTCTTGGACTTCTCTGCCCCCCCCCACGCTCAACATGTTTCTAAAATGCATGTGTGTTACTTGAAGCTGTGGTCCACTTATTTTTACTGCTGTATGAGATCCCAGCACTTGAAGACAGTTTATCTCTGTCTACTCCTGGTGACAGACACTTGAGTTGTTTCCATGGTCAGATGTCTCATCTTCCTCCTTTCTTACACTACCTGTCTGGGTCAGATTACATGGCAGAAGCTATTAGGTTATTGGGATGAAACAATAAGGCTACCAGATCTAAAATATCATTGGCCTCCTATGTTAACAGGAAATATAAATGCACATTTGATTACCATGCTGAAGGATATAGTTTTAACTCTTGAGTACTGTGACAGAAATATCTGCTGACATGCTAAGTGAAGGCTCTCATCTCGAATGCATCAGACATACAGATTGGCTTGAATTCAGGAAATACTTTGCTTTGAGACTTCTAAAGTAATTGATTTGAACTTACTATATGTACATTCTGATCCCGCCCTATTGTCATACACTTATACCTGCTGCATGTAGTTCTCCAACCAGATGTTTTTCCTCTGGCATCTTAAATTCTAAAATGAACAAAATTGAATTCAGTAACTTCATTTTTCAAGCAGTTAACAAGTAATAAAGCAAATATGGGAAAACATCAGCGATTGTTAAAATGAATGTTCATTAAACCGTTCTTCCTACTCGTCTGTGTTTTTAGAAATTTTATAATCAAAGGTAAAAATATAAAGCAAATTATTAACAACAGTAAGCAATGATCAAAATAATAAAGATAATGTTTAAGATAATGTGTACTGTTGAGGAAAATTTGATTCACTCTAGAGCTTTGAATAACATCTCTTTGTTTTATAGATGAAGATACTGAAACTTTATCGATATCAGTAATAGTTTCTTCCTCACAGACCAGCCTTCCCCTCTTTATCATCACAGAGCTTTTCCCTTTTTATCCCAAGACTTTAGCTTTGGAATAATTAAGTGACTTCCTTTTTCTTTTTAATCACTGAAAACATATATTACGTACTTGGTGGAATAAAATCATAATGGGTTTGTTCACCATCATTTATTTCAGTACCATGTGTACACACACATTATTTATTTAGCATCTCACATCTCCTTCATACTGTCGATGGATATAGTATTGCTTCTTCTTTATAGGTTGATGAGCTAGGATCCAGGTAAGTTAAGAAGCTTTTCAGTGATCACAAAGTGTAACCCAACCTAAAATAAGAGTCATCGCTTTCTGGTTCAGTACTGTGGTCTTACGCTTCCAGAATCCCATGTATGAATACTACTTCTTGTGTCTATCTCAACAGGCTTCTGATGGAAGCAGCTCCAGAGAAGATCTTTCATCTCAGCTTTTGAGAAGGAATGAACAGATACGGAAATTAGAGGCAAGACTTTCTGGTATGTCTAAGAACTCATAAAAAACAAACAAAGGAAATTTTCCTTTTCTGACCCTCTCTCCTTATAAAATAGCTACATAGTATAATCTTACCGTTATTTTGATTTTCTTAGTAAAGAAAGGAGAAATTTGTACCCCCTTTGTTTCTTTTTTTGTTAATATACCACATATTATAAATTCAAAACTGAGTTTTAAACTTCAAAAAGCACACAAAACTTAAGTTTTCTGCTCCTGAGGTTTCTAGCCATGGATATAAAAGGTATTAATAGTGTATGTAGAATAGATTTGACTATCTTTTTAGCTTGCTTTCTGGTGGAGAGGGGTTGAAGATACCATTTACATGGGATGACCAACACATGTTGGGTTTTTCAACACCAGAGGGATTTGGTGCTCTGTTGCCACTTGCTATAGCTACATATCACCTATGTAAGTGTTATTCCAGTCTGGGCCACATTTCAATAGTATTTCTAACTCCACCATCTTTATAGAAGCAGTAACTCTCGCTGTGTTTTTTTGTGTGCCCTTTCAATTTACACAACTTCCATTATATCCTTTGCCTGAGCAGGTCATGTTTGTGATAGAGTGTGAGTTCTTATTTTATTTCTGCCAGTGGACACATTTGAACGCTTCATCCTGTGACATGGTTAGTGGTTTCTGTGTTTCTTTTTGTCCATTGGCCTTATGGCCATTTTATTGGAGAGAAAGCAGTAGACTGCAAAATTCCCCAAATTTTATGAGACATCTCTGTGTCTGTTCAGTTATCAAAGGTCCATAATGTAGCTCCCAACTTCTAGTTAGTTTATCATCATTTTGTCCTCACTGTAGCCTTATTAGACATAGCAAGGTTAAGGTCACACAAGTAGTGGGCAGTAGAGCTGGGATCCAAATCCAGATTTGCTTGGTACTAGAGTCTATACTCTTTTTTTAAATATATTTTTATTGATTTCAGAGAGGAAAGGAAAGAGAGGGAGAGATAGAAACATCAATGATGAGAATCATTGATTGACTGCCTGCTGCATGCCCCACACTGGGGATTGAGCCCGCAACTCAGGCATATGTCCTGACTGGGAATCCAATCATGATCTGGTTCATAAGTTGATGCTCAGACATTGAGCCATGCCAGTTGGGCTAGAGTTTATATTCTTAATTACAGTCTGCTTTTAACTCAGTTTTTACTGTCCTCTTACCCTCTGGTGTAAATAGTATCAGCAACACGGGTGAAATAATGTTTAATGTTGTGGGGAAACTATAAAATGACATGTACCCTCCCTAATATAGAAGGAAGACTACTCTGAGCTTGACTTAGGTTAGAGAGGAAGAATCAGGGGAGAGAACTGACATTACTGAGCTCACATATACCCTGGGTAATTCCAACAGGCTCAGTATAAATAACAATAGCAGCTCCATTTATTGAGCACTGTGTGCTAGGTGCATAAGGCATATAAACTGATTTATTATCTAATGCATCCTTTGAGGTAGGCATTCTTATATCATCATTTAATAAATGAAGAAATTAATACTTAGGATCAGTCATTTGCTTACGGACTGACAGAGTAGAGATTTGAACTAAAGCCTGTCTACTTTTCCACTATACCATACTATCTTTTTTGGCCACTCAGGTAACTAATTCTAACTTTCACCTTTAAAATAGCATAGGCAGCTCAGTTCCTGTGTGGAAAGGAAGCTGACTTCTAGAACATGAAGCATTTTCACTTTACAGTTCTGTAGTAAGGTGTCTGCTAGTGCCCTAATCACTTTTACTCAGTTTTATGGACTGTACGCTATTTAGGGAGTTCCTGTTGATCTATCCTGCTAAGACTGGAAGGGGAAGTGAAAACTGAGATTTGAAATTAAGTATTGAGAAGATACTGGTTTTCATAGCAGGGCATTTCTGAATACCAATCCAGGACCAATTTTTGTTCTTTATCAAGGCTAAACAAAGCTGCCTGTTCGTATTCACCATTTACACCTTGGATAGTTTGTACTACCTGTTTGCCTGTCTTGTTCATTGTTATTGGGAGGCTGTCTGCCTAGCTATCCTTACCAGGAATAGTTTTCAGGCTGAAAAAAATCATCACATTTTCATTCATTTTTTTGTTTAACTTCCTTTCCTGATGTTTGTCCATTCCTGGTATGTGCGTCACTCTCCTCACCCAAGACTATGCTGAACAGGTCCGAAACTTGCAGAAGATAAAAGAGAAGCTTGAAATTGCATTAGAAAAACACCAGGATTGTACGTATTTTTTTTTTTTCCTGTTTCCCTTTCCCCCCCAATATTTTTAGGGTTTAGTTTTTTTAAATGAAACAATTGTATATGGTTAAGTTTTTTACATTGTCACAGCTCAAATCTTTATTGTATGAGTAGTATCCAGTATTTCTTAATTAGGTTGATATAACATGTGTTTGGTATTTAGTAACATACAACTTGTATTTATGGGCATGTTGCCTTATGGGCATGTTTCTTAGGAGAAGGAAGCTGTGTCCAGCCAGTTGACCGGTTTATTGGTAAAATGCCTGGCCCTGGGATCTAAATCAGGAGACTTGGTTCTAGCCATAGCTGCATTCCTGCTATGTTTCAGAAACAGGGGGAAATCTCTAGCTGTCATCACTCCCCCTCCAACAATAGAACATACATTTTGTTTATTCTACCCTAAGTCATATGGTATTCTTTGGTCCAATCAAAGAAAATGCTAACGGAAGTAGAAAGTTATTTTCAGTTGATATATACTAAAAAAATTTTTAAAAGAAAAACCAAGTGAAATATTTTTGTGTGTTGCTTTGTTTTGATTTTTGTTTTTCCTTTTAATTCTATAAATTGATAATAGCCATCACTTAGCAACAGCATTGTTTTCTTGCACCTTAGCTAATTCAGTCAGTATTCTTTCATTGTACCATTTAAAAGTTACCTTTTGGCATTTTCCTAATTGTATATACTTGATTATTATAAAAAAAAAACACAAAAAAAAACCAGGAAACAAATAAACAAAAATGGTGGCCTATTTCTAAGACCAAACGATTCTGGGAAAGTTGAGATGGATCAGGTTTTTCCCAGTCTCATAATTCATTTATGTGATGTTGGCCTTTTTGTTAGGTGACAATTGTAATCACATGGGTTATTTGTGATGCTGTTTCTGAAATGTTTCCATATCTCAAATAAAGCCTCTTTGTTAACAGCTTCTATGCGGAAATTGCAAGAGCAGAATGAGACATTCCAAGCCAACAGAGCCAAAATGGCAGAAGAACAGGCTTTGGCATTAGCCAGAAAAGATCAGGTATTTTATATTTGACATAAAGATAAAAAATTTCACATGATTTTTAAAAAAATCATGACCTAAACCTGGTAGAAAATATTTACAACCTAGGAGAAAAGAAATGCCATATACAGGGTGAGGCAAAAGTATGTTTACAGTTGTGAGTTCATGAAACAGTTTCTTGTATTAATTATATTGTTTTATTTTCCTTACAAACAACTGTAGGTCTACTTTTGCTCCAACCTGTATGTTTTTTGAGATTTCATTTGGCATCGGGGTTGAATATTATCAAGAAACATTACAGTTATAATCATGAAGTATGTCTAGAATGTGAGATTATCATTGTGCAACTGTGTAGCTTTGTAAAATGGAGAAGGGAAATTGTGTGTCCATAGTCTGATAGTGAGCCCAAGACAAGGAAAAAGATCTCTATCTTCTCAAAACCTGTCTCAAAACCTAGGTCCAAACACTTGCCTTTGACAATGGAGAAGATGATATCATGCTAGCCATCATCCATGATGTACATAGTTATTACAATCTTTGTTCCCAAACTTCTTCAGCTTCAGCTAGCTAGACAGAAAGGAATTCCTATAATCTCACTAGACTTATCCGTTGAAAGATGCTGAATGAACTAACAATAAGAAAGGAAAATAATGCTGTTTATTTTGTGCAGTGGCGTTTTAAATTTAAGATAAGCATCAAGATATTATAATGATAATCCTGATTTTTTAAAGATGCGGTCAATTTATTATGATGCATTTAAATAATGTATAGCCCTAGCCTGTTTTTCTCAGTGGCTAGAACATTGGCCCATACACAAAAAGGTCTCGGATTTGCTTCTTGGTCAAGGGCAACGTACCTTGGTTGCAGACTCACTCCTCTTGCCTGCCTCTCAGTTAGAAGCAAAGAGAGACAACCAATTGATGTATCTCTCTCCCCCTTCTCCCTCCCTTCCACCTCTAAAAAAAAAAATCAATGGAAAAATACTTTCGGATGAAGATTTTAAAATATATGTATATATGTAAATATATGCATATACATATACACATTGTGTGTGTGTGTGTGTGTGTATTTTGTTGGGCGAGGAGTAACAAAAAACAAAGTAAAACAGAAAATGTATACTTTACCTACAGTAGGTGGGTTGGTTGATTGGTTGGTTTTAAAGTTTGCATTTGTCTTCTAGGAAATTACTAACCAGAAAACAAATCATTCTGTACTTAGTGGCTAACTATGATGGTATAAGCTTATATAAATTAAGAAATCTAAAATTGGTAAATTCTGATTTTAGGCATTGGAATATGGCCTTTCGTACCAGTGGATATTTTCCCCCCGTTCAGTGATTTGTGAATAACAGTCATAATCCCTTTTCCATGAACTTATACCAGATGCATAAAGCATATTGGTAAAATTAAGATGAGAAGGAAAATAATTATTAGGAGTTACTGAAGACCTTCCCCGTTAGTAAATTAATTTCTAAACATCAATTACAAAGTTATCAACTCAGCTGGTCCCAGCTACTCATCCCAAGAAGTTATGAGAGTAAACATGAAAAACCACTCAGGAATAAGCTGAAAAGCTGCATCCAAACAGCACAGATAGTTTTGTTTGGGTGCTCTAGTTAGTAAAAATCTACAGGATTATATTTGTATTCTAGAGTTTTATAAAAAGTTCATTTTCTTCTTTTTCTTAGCTTTCTTTCTTTTTTTCTTTTTTTTTTTTATCCTCACCCGAGGATATTTTTCCTTTGATTTTTAGATAGAGTGAAAGTGAGAGGGAAAGACAGAGAGAAACATCGATGTGAGAGAAACACATCAATTGGTTGTGCCTCTTACACCCTGACCAGACCCTGGCCAGGGAGGAGCCTGCAATTGAGGTATGTGTCCTTGACTAGAATCGAACCTGGGATCCTTTGGTCTGCAGGCCGACTCTCTATGCACTGAGCCAAACCGGCTAGAGTATGGCTTTCTTCATATTAAGACAATTTCAAGTGTTTGTTTTTTAATTTGCTATTTTGTTTGGTGGGTTGCTTGGGGGGGTGGTAGGTTGTTTTGTTTTCAGAAAATCTTGATATTATTGATACTCTTCCCTGGAAATTGTACTTTTTTTTGTTCTTTTGCCTTAGGAATGGTCACAAAAAGTGGAGCAGCTTGAAAAGGTTAGTTCATCTTTGATTTTGTCTCATTCCGATTGTGGGCCTCTTCTGCGGAGCTTAGAAAATGGATTCTACAGTACCCAATGTACTGATATCTATTCCTCTTGGAAGCAGGGTACTAGATGATTACACATTGACTTGAAAAACTTGTGTCTTACCCTTTAATTGGTGGGCATGCCCTGCCCAGTATACTCTCCACCCCTCTCTTAACTGTCTGTGTGTGCGTGATGGGACCTACATCAACAGGGATCCATTGCCCTTTTGCTTCTGATTGGGTTCTGCCAGTGGGAAACACTAAAAGAACTATGTGTGGAGGATGAGTGGGGTCAGAGTGTTCATTTCCCCAACCTTCTTCATATGGGATCTCTTCGGGTTAGTTGTATCCCAGGGCCAAAGGTCACAGCCTTAGTAGGAGCTTTGGTTTACCCTCTTGACATAGTTTCTTTCTCTAGGTTTCTTGTAACCTCTTCATCCCTTTGTCCCTTCATGTCCATCTGTTACTAGCCCATTTTCTCTTTTGGATTTTGTAACTCTGCCCACAGCTTTGAAAAGTCCCTTTATTAAACTCTTCTCAAAGTGCCTAACCTGAGTCTGCCATCTGTCTCCTGCTGGGACCCTGACTGACACTGTGGAAGCAGGAGGAGCACTTTTGGAGGAGACAATGAAAGGAGTGCATTTCTCCAAGCTCAGCATTGAGCAGATAAGACACAGATGAGGAAAATTAGTTATTCCAGCACCACAGCTTTTCTAACACTGTGTAGATGCTTAAGTAATACATCCCTGGCTCCCAAACATGAACAGTAAGATGAAGTTTCAAGCCTACAATTAGAAAAACATTTTAATTTAAAATAATCAATAGTCAACACCCTGAGCCTGAATTATATGTTGCTACTTTATTCATTCCTTGTTTTCATTGAGTAATCCTAAGTTACTCTTCATGGTAGAAAAATTATTTCTTAGATTGGTAGGTTGCTGGTTTGATTCCAGGTCAGAGCGCATGCCTGGGTTGTGGGCTTGATGTTGTGCAGGAGGCAGTGAATGGATGCTTCATTTTCACATCTGAGTTTCTCTTTCTCTCTCCCTTTCCCTTCCTCTCTCTCTTAAAAAAAAAAAAAAAAGAAGAAGAAGAAAAGAAATTTTTTTAAAGAAAAAAAAAGTTCTAAGCATGGTATTGATGGTCTTCTTAAACATGGTGGTATAGATTAGGTCAAAGTTTTCTTATCATAAGAAACTTAAAATTATAGCAATTAAAATTCTCATTGGACTTTTTTTGTCTTAAAATTATGGAAAAGGGGGATCCATATAGGACTGAACTAAATAAAACCTACTTCAGTTCACTAAGGAGATTGTCTCTCTCCACCCCTCCCCATTCAAAGGAGGGATTGGAAAGTATTTTAGACAGGGAAAAACTAGACACACCTAGGTCTTTGAAGCCACTTCATTTTTGGAAATGTTATTTTTATAGACTTTTAATTTTTTTTTCAATCAAGAATTGGAAGCAGGGTTTGTCCTCAAGAGAATCCATCTTGGCTGGGGGGGAGAAGGGGAGGAACAAAAAAAACAAAAAAAAGAGAACCCATCTTGAGAAATTATCATTTAGTAAATTGTAATCTACTGAAATCAGTCATGTCTAATTTTTGTTGGCTTGCTCATTGAAATCTGTTCTACTTAAATGCATCTAGTTTTGTCAGGGCATTCAATCTCTTACTCGTTATTAATGCTATTCAGCCAGTTGAGCCTGTCACTGAGAATAAACATGTAAAATGGATATCTGGAATTGTTAATGAATCTTACGATTTTAAAGGGTGAAGTAATTGTTGTTCTTATTGCTCTTATTCGCAACTGTCATTTAAAACATTTTTTAACTTAAAAAATTAATGCCATATTGATCATATTACTGTAATGCTTCTTATTATCAATGTTTTTTTGTCTACTGACAAGAGATTTTTATTCAGAATTCTACTTACATAATATGATTTTAATGTCTTAGTTGCCTGAGTTGATATCTTCTTCCAAATAGGAGAAAAGGTTTCTGACAGCTCAGTTACAGGAAATGAAGAACCAGAGTTTGAATCTTTTCCAAAGGAGAGATGAAATGGATGAATTAGAGGGGTTCCAGCAGCAGGAACTAAGTAAAGTAAAACACATGGTGCGCATTTTTGTTTTAGTAGCTAAGTGCTGAATAGATTATTCATTATTCTGATTTTGCTAGTCATCACCCTCTAAGTGCTGACAAACCCCAGTAGTCTTTGATATTATATTTATATTAGAGACCCAGTGAACGAAATTCATGCATGCGTAGGGTCCCTAGTGACTGCCTCCCTTCCCCCAGTTGCCTGCCACTGCCAGCCCTGCCCCCTGGTTGAGCTCCCAGTTGAGGGAATAATTTGCATATTAGGCTTTTATTACATAGAATATTTTTCAGTTTATTAAAGTGGAAAAATTCTGTTTCATTTTTTAAATTTTTTTCACTACCAGGCATATAAGGCCACTCAGAAACTCACAAGTTTGTCTTATTTATTGGTCCAGATTTTTTTTTTAAGTTACATTTCTTAGTAGTGGCTCAATGAAACTTTTATCTTTGTGTCAGCTTTTAAAAAAAGAAGAAAGTCTGGGGAAAATGGAGCAAGAGTTGGAGGCACGAACCAGAGAACTTAGTAGAACCCAGGAAGAGTTGATGACCTCCAATCAGCTATCGTCAGACTTGAGACAGAAGCTAGAAGAATTGCAGAGACACTGCTCAACGCTGGAAGAGCAGAGGTTCTTGCTTGGTCTGTGGGGCCCATGGGAAGTGGTGTTAGTGTAGCTTTGGCTAGAACCTTCCCACCATTCCCCATTACTCATTGCAATACTTTCTGATCCCAGTTCTGGCCAAGGTTTATGGGCTTGTCCTTATCTGCCTAGGGCTTAGGACCGCCCCCATAAAACACACACACACACATACACACACACACACACACACACACACACAAAAACCCACACATCCTCATTCCCCTTCCCCTGCCTATGTTCAGAGCCCCTCCAACTCTGCTGAGAAATTTAGTTTGTTTTAGTTTGTAAGCAATTAAGAAACCACAGACAGATACCTTGCTTAAATCTGAGTGGAATTTTTCTCTTTGGGCTCTGCTTCAGAGAGAGAGCTAAGGAATTTTTTCCATTTTTTTCTAATCTTCACATGGTAAATGTTCGCAGCCCTGATATATAAAGAAACAGCTGTATTTTTCCTGTGGAAGAGAGTTTCTTAGATGAGCTATCCAAATTTATTCATTGTCTGCTTTCTTTCAATGAAGAGATCTTGTGACAGCTTCAACAACAGGTGCAGAAAGTAAGATCGCAGCCCTGGAGCAAAAGGAACAAGAGCTCCAAGCATTCATTCAGCAGCTTTCCATTGATTTGCAAAAGGTAAATAGAACAAATAAAACAAAATAAAAAACAAAAAGTTAAGTTCTAGGAGGGGACCCAAGCTGGGGCTAAGGTATGAGATGCACAGCAGCTCTCTGAGGTCCTTGTGCTGTGAGCCAGGGTGTATATCATTTGTTTTACAACTTCTCTCTTCGGCCTTAAGGCAGATGATTTGCATCATCACTGCTTCATCCAGCCTCATGGAGTGCTGTAGGTTATTGTAGGCTGGCTGGGATTATCGTGCATGGGATTATCTCTGCTGGATTTGACTAATGGGATAAAGATGCAGGTCCTGTTGGACTGTGGATTAATAGGATTAAACACTTGCTTGTTGAGAGTGTGAGGAAAAGCATTCATTTAGCTAGTAGATCACAGTACAATGGAGTAATTTTAAGAAGGAGAATCATCTTCCTAGGGTCCTGGCTAGATTCTACGGAGGTAAGAACATTGCTCCTTCCCAGGTTGTGGGTTGTTTGAGGCAGGCATTTGTCTCTTGCTGCACGAGGTCTGAACTGGATGCCAAAGTGGTGCTGGGTTCTGATTTTGTATCTTCTATGTCCCATTTTCAGGGAAGATTTCCTGGCAATATATTCTTCTGGCATTCAGTTGAGAACAGAATTTCTGGGAAATGCAATGGTCCTCGAGGGGACCAGAAAGGGGGGAGAAGGGATTTATGGTGTAACATAATCTCTGCTTTCACCGTAGGTCACTGTTGAAACTCAGGAGAAAGAAAAACTTATCACACATTTGCAGGAGAAAGTCACGTCCTTAGAGAAGAGACTGGAGCAGAACTTATCAGGAGAAGAACATGTGCAGGAACTCCTGAAAGAGGTAATTAGCTCTCTGGGCCAGCCAAAGTGGGGAAGGAGATTTCATACAATCCTAGAGTTTCAGGTCTTGAGAGTTTGCAAACAGCTTGATGAGAAGAGCACTCTCTCCAACTTTGGATTGTCCTGCTTACAGCAGAGAGTCTCATGTCACTTGTGTGGGACATGTTTTCCTTAGGGAAAGCTTTCCTCAGAGATGCCTTTGAACAAATAGCATCCTGATCACCATTCAGCCCACATAGGGATTTACTCCAGCTGGACTGTCTTGTCTTATTGCTTTGCTCTCCTCCTCCCTTTTGCACTTTCCATTGGCCAAGGAACCACCTGTTACCATCTGCCTTTGGCTTCAGCACAATTGCCTTGGGCAGCAAGTGGACTCTCCTTAGCTAAGAGGAGGCTATTGAGAAGACTTACCTTTTGCTCAGGTCAGTGATGTAGATGAACTTGCTTTCTCATCAGGTCTGAGCTCATTGCCTATATTCCACTCCTTTTCCTCTTGTTTACCAGTGATTGTCCTCACCATGACAAAGGTGACAAAGCCAAGGCCTTGGGCCTAGGTCGCACCCTCACTTTCTGTCTTTAGTTCCCACTAAATACTTCTATCTCCACTGCCACAACAGCCTGGTCCACATTATAAGTCTCCAAACTGGCCTATCCAGCAACAGTCTCTCCTCCTTCACCCTCTGTCAAAGTTATTGCCAAAGTGATCTTCCTAAACTTAAAGACCTTACACAATTCCCCTGCAATCCACAGTGAGTATAATGTGGATTCTAGAGTGTAAATTGATTTCTAGAACCAGACTAGGTTTGTATCTCACCTACAGGCAGTCCTCGGGTTACATTGGACTCCACATACATCGTTTTGTGGTTACGTCGCCACCTTCCATTTACAGTATTTATAATAAAAAAAAAGTTCAGTCATGTCAACATATGTATATATGTGCTTTATATTTTTATTATTTACTACAAGTAAATGTTAGGAATTGATATTTTTCTTTTAAATTTTTTTACTGTTTAACCTCATTACTGCTGTGTATGTTCTCCATGTGAGTGATGTAGGTGCTTATGACTTACAGCGAAAATTGCATTATATTACGCCATAGGAACGGATCTCCAATGTACCCAAAGGACCTACTGTGTTCTATTATTGGTTTGTGACTTAAAGCTAACCATGTAATCACTTTGTATTTATTTTTCCTCTGTAAAATAGGGTTATTATTTGTACCAAATGCATAGAGTTGTTATTAGGATTAAATGAGTTACAAAATATGAAGTGGTTAGAATGAGGCTTAGAACATAGTAGGGTCTTAATATAATTCAGCTATCTTCTATATATAGAAAAGCCTAATATGCAAAGTGTCCCCTCAGGAGTTTGACCTACCGGGAGTTCGATCACTCGCTATGCTGTGCACTGACAACCAGGAGGTGGTCTGGAACAAAGGAAGGCCCTGGCCGGCAGCTGGCAGCCACTAGGGACCCTGCCCATGCACAAATTTTGTAAAATGGGCCTCTAGGCTATGTATATAAAATCCTAAGCGATCTTTCGACCATTTGACCATAGCTATGGGGATCAGGGGAAGGCGACGCCCCCATCACACCTCTGTACTGACCACTAGGGAGCAGACGCTCAATGCACAAGCATGAAAACATGAAATATACTGATGAATCTCAGAGGGAAGTGGGGGAGTAGAGAGGGTGGGAAGAGATTAATCAAACATCTTATATGCATACTAGAGGCCCAGTGCACTGATTCATGCACCGATGGGGTCCCTTGGCCTGGGCTGCGGGTATCAGGCAGACCGACATCCCCCGAGGGGTCCTGGATTGCGAAATGGTGCAGGCCAGGCCTAGGGACCCCACCGGTGTATGAATCATGCAGCTGGGCTCTAGTTAATGTAATAATCATTATTGTGCCATCATCATTATTATAATATTTAGTGTGCATAATAGCTACTTAGGGAATTTGTTTAAAGTATGTATCTCTGACCCTACCATTGGAAATTCTGATTTCTGGAGTAATAGGTCTGGAGTAAAGCCTCATGTTTAACACCCCCCAAATAAGTTTTAATGCAATGTTTAGGCAACTCCACTTTGAAAAATATTGCCTTCAGAATTAAATTCAAGCTCCTTTCTGCAGCATAAAAAACTTCTCATGATCTTGCTCTTTGCCTCACTTTCTAGTCTTGTTTCTTGACTTGATCCCACCATCACTTTATCTTTTAGCAAGTTGTAGCTTCCAAATGTCCCAGGCTGTTTCCACCTTCATTGGTTATCCCTCTGTCTGGATGCTGCCCCCTACTAACCCCACCTCCCATCCCTGGCCACCGTAAATTATGGAAATTCAGGAAATTCTATTTCCCTGAGGCCATAAGCATATCCTGCTCTGTACTCCTTCTTGTGGGCACTATTGCATTCTATTATATAACTATAGGCCTGGTGCATGAAAATTCATGCACTGGAGGGGGGTCCCTCAGCCCAGCCTGCCCCCTCTAACAGTCCAAGAGCCCTCAGGGGCAGGAAGAGACCTGGGGATCAGGGGAAGGCAATGCCCCCATCACACCTCTGCTGCTGCCACTGCTGGCAGTGCAAGCCTCAACTGGCCCTGGCTACCTAAGCCTTGGGTGGCCCTGGGCAGCTGGGCAGCCGACATCCAAGGCTTGCCTGTGCCTCGGGCCAGCCCTGCATGGTGGGGCTGAGGGGTCTGGGCTCTGCTATCTTGTGGCTATGGGCGCCACCATCTTTGAGGGTGTGGCAGTCAATTAGCATATTTCCTCCTTATTGGCTGTGGGCACCACCATCTTTGAGGGCAGAATAGTCTATTAGCATATTTCCTCTGTTCGCTGTGGGTGCCACCATCTTTGCAATGGCGTGAGGGTCAATTAGCATATTCCCTCTATTAGATAGTATTGTTTTGCCCTAGCCACAAGGTCAAAGGACTGTGTCAAATTTATCTGTGTATACTTGATGATATGTGAATTTTATCTTAATGTATTTGCGTACCTTGAGACTTACACAAATCATAGTTATGTTGTGAATATCAGTAAATATTTATTCAATGAAGAAATGACTATTTTCTTTTACTCTTCTTCCACTTACAGAAAACAGTTGCTGAGCAGAATTTGGAGGATACCAGACAGCAGCTCTTGGCAGCCAGAAGCAGCCAGGCCAAGGCCATTGACATCCTGGAGACGCGGGTATTGACCTCACTGTCAGTGATCACATTGTCTGGGTGGTAACCTGGTTGGATCACTTGGTTGTGGCTGAGAATCCCCTTGGGTCAAAGATTTTCTTTTGAGGGGACTGTTTTTGGCTCTTATATTGAGTTGAGTTAGTCATTTTCTTCATTTGCCACATTGTCATCATTGTTCCACACAAAGTTGTCTTCTTGTTTTATCTCCATTTCTCTTCCTCCCATAGCAAACCATTCTGACATGGTTAATAGAAATCCTTCTATTGGGTTTTCCTAAAACTTGTGGCATTGTTTTGTGTGCTAATTTATGTAAATGATGTAGTTATGCAGTCTTCTCTTAGCTTAACCTGCTCCATCTTCTGTGTCCATATCACTGCACTTACCTACTCTACTTTGTAGTTATCTACTAGATGATAGACATACAGATTGCCTTCTTCTTGTCACCACAGGTCACACTGCAATGAACATCCTTATCCCTGTCGCCTTAAGAAGGAGAGAGAATGCATGTGACCTGATGTGACTAAATAGGATAAGGATGTTCCCAGCAGGGCTGCTTCTGGCTCTAGTCCCCAGTATGACCGGGATTCCTGTATCTGAGGGCTTTTCCAACATTGGCATTTCCCAGAATTTTCTGTTGCCAGTTTAAGGAGTGTGAAGGGGTGGGAGGAACAAAGGATCTCTGTGGGGCCTCCTTTATGAGAGCCCTAATCCCATTCTCAAGGCTCTATCTTTATGACCTAAACACCTCCAAAGGCCCCACCTCATGATCTCACCATATGAATTTGGGAGAGGGGACACAGACTTTCAAATCATAGCAGTTTAGCTCATTTTGTAAAATTTTATTTTTTTATTTTTTAAAAAATATATGTTTTATTGCTTTTGTACAGAGAGGAAGGGAGAGAGATAGATAGTTAGAAACATCGATGATGAGAGTCATCGATCAGCTGCCTCTTGCACACCCCCTACTGGGGATGTGCTCGCAACCAAGGTAGATGCCCTGAACTGGAATCGAACCCGGGATCTTTCAGTCCCCAAGCCAACACTCTATCCATTGAGCCAAACCAGTTTTGGCAAATTTTATTTCTTGATAAACATATTTTAAGGTATATTTTTCTCTAAATACAGTTTTGTTTGTTTTATTATAATTCTATTTATTTTACTTTTTTTATTTTTTAGAGAGAGAGTGAGAAACATCGATTTGTTTTCAACTTATTTATGCATTCATTGGTTGATTCTTGTATATGCCCTGATGGAGGATCAAACCTGCAACCTTGGCATATTGGGATAATGCTTTAACCAACTGAGCTATCCAACTAGGGCAGTTTTATTTGTGTGTGTGTGTGTGTGTGTGTGTGTGTGTGTATCCACTTTTTGTTGTGGTATTAAAATATACATAATGTAAAATTTATCATTTCAACGAGTTTCTAGGTATATATTCAATGTATCTGAGGAACCATGAGACCTAAAAACATTCTCTTTTAATCGGGCACTTGTCCTTGACAAAGTTGCCACCTTCTTGTGCTTGTTTTAATAGTAAAGTTCCCCAAGGGCAGAGATGATTCCACAAACAAGAGAAATTATCAGAGATAGCTTTAGTCAGATCAAAATGGCCCATTAGAGAGGTAGGCCTAGCTAAGTGCTGGGCAATATGTTGTCATCCTGTCCATTGGGCAGGGCCAGGTACGTCCTAGTCAGACTTGGTCGATGTTTAGTGAATGAATGGAACCAAAATTGTGTCATAACAGTAATCCTATTTCTGAGAATCTGTCCTAAGAAAGTGATTCAAACCAGGTCAAAACATTTGCATAAATATTTTAACTGCTGTACGGGAAGGGTAGGGAGATCTGGGCTAGATAAAAGATCAACCGAAGGACTTGTATACATGCATATAAGTACAACCAATGGACACAAAACTCTGGGGAGGGAGGGTATCTATGGGAGGGGGGAGCAATGTTAAAATATGTACACAGATAATAATTTAATAAAAAAAATATTTTAACTGCTGTACAGTTTTGGATGGGAAAATGGAAACAACCCAAGTGCCAACACAGGAGGCAGCAGTGCAGGAAATTCCAAAACATCCTTTGAGAAAATAATCTAAAGTCTGCCAACCATGTAGAAACACAGAAGAAAACTTGAGCGAGGAGGAAAAATAAAGTTTTACTAGAATTGTATACAATGTAATTTTATTTTATTTATTTTTTATTTTTTATATTTTTTAATTGATTTTTCACAGAGAAGAAGGGAGAGGAATAGAGAGTTAGAAACATCGATGAGAGAGAAACATCAGCTGCCTCCTGCACACCCCCTACTGGGGATGTGCCCGCAACCAAGGTACATGCCCTTGACCGGAATTGAACCTAGGACCCTTGAGTCTGAAGGCTGACACTCTATCCACTAAGCCAAATCAGTCAGGGCTGTGATTTTAAAAAGTCATAGAAATAGACTGGAAGAAAAGTCATTAGGATGATAGTGTTTTATAGTATGGGTATTCCCATAAAATTTTCAATTTTATACCTGATTTCTGGCTTAAATTCATTTAGTTTTTAAAGCCATTAATTGTTACTCGAGCTTTTTTTTTAGATGAGGAAACTTTTTTTTTTTTTTTTTTTTGATTGTCTTTTTTCATTTATTTTGGAGAGGGAGGAATACCCACCAATTGGTTGCCTCTTGTACAGGCCCTGCCTGGGAAGCAAATCCACAATCTTCCTGTCCATTGGACTACGCTCCAACCAACTGAGTCACACCAGCAAAAGAATGCTTCTGGCCTTAGCCAGTTTGGTTCAGTGGATAGATCGTCGCCCTGCGGGACTGAAAGGTCCTGGTTTTGATTCCAGTCAAGGACCTATACCTCGCTTGCAGACTTGTTCAATGGCCCCAGTTGGGGCAGCTGTGGGAGATAACCAATCGATGAGTTTCTCTTGCATTGATGTTTCTCTGTGTGTCTCCCTATCCCTTCTACTCTCTCTAAAAATTAATGGAAAAAATATCCTCAGTTGAGGACTAACAACAACAAAAGAATGCTTCTGTTCCACTCAGGTGAAGGAACTAGAGCAGAGCCTGCAGGCCTCCGAGGAGAAGCTGAAACAGAGCAGAGACGCCGTGGCCGCTCAGGAATCTCAGATTCAGGAGCTTGTAAGTAGCTATGGTGCTGCTGTGGTCTAGGCCCTCGATGCCTTCCCTTATGCCTTTGCAGCTACCCCAGCTTCTGGAAGGGTACCTGGGCCTGACTTCATATACACTTGTGCTGGGTGTGGGCAGCTGGGCAGCTGCATGTAGAAGGAGTCAGGCCTGCTGGAGGCTCTGAGTTACCCAAGAGGCAGGGACTGGCTAATTCCCACCTGACCGCTGGCCGGAGGGCCCAGCCTAGTCATGGGACTGTTACAGGTGGAAACTGCCCTGGCAGTCAAACCTCAGCTTGCAGCCAGGGTTGTGGAGAACAGGTCCACGCTTTGGGGAGAGGTTGGCGAGGGCTGGCCAGTTGTCACAGCCTCAGAAGAAGTGTTGAGTTAGCAACTAGAGAAATAAAAACGGCATTCGTTACATGGTTAACTTGTCCCAGGCTCTGTGCTAAGTATTCTGCACATGTTTTCATTTAGTCCTTACAGCACATCTAAGAGGTATGCACTGTTACCCTCATTCTCTAGAGCAAGCATGTCAAACTCAAGGGCTAACACGGGCCAAATAAACAAAGTTTAAATTTATGTAGGCTACAAAAAAAACACAAACTTCACTTTTCATAGAAACCGATAGAGACATGCTGAGACATGCTGAATACAAGGGCTGAAACGAGTAATCATTAACATAAAATAATAGAACATTTTAATAAAAATATTTTTTTCTTGAACATTTACTTACCAGACACTGAATAGCTGCAAGTGTAATGCAAATAAACCTATATTTCTTGTTTTTCGAAAGCGAAATATTTTTTTAAAATATATTTTATTGATTTTTTTACAGAGAGGAGGAGAGAGAGATAGCTAGAAACGTCGATGAGAGAGAAACGATCGACCAGCTGCCTCTTGCACACCCCCTACTGGGGATGTGCCCGCAACCAACATGCCCTTGACCGGAATCGAATCTGGGACCTTTCAGTCTGCAGACGGACGCTCTACCACTGAGCCAAACCGGTTTTGGCGCGAAATATTTCTGTTGGTCACACCATACAAGTCAGTACAAGACTAATGATGTGGCAATCGGCTGCTAAAATATTCACTGCTAGTATTAGTGGACAGGAATGGTATGCCTGCACATAAGGCGCCTAAGAGAAATAAATACAACACAATTATAGTAATTAGTCATTAGGGAATGTTGTAGTTTGTTATTAATAAATAAAACAGGATGTTGTAAAAATTAAGTTACAAAACTTTTATTAAAACGTTTCTTACATACCGCTATATTGGCTGGGCCACAAAAATATTCATCGTGGGCCTAGAGTTTGGCATACTTGCTCTAGAGGAAGCAGGCTCAGAAAGTCCAGGCTGCATCTCTCTCAGATCCAAAAGCCCAGTTCATCACTGGGTTGGTTATACTGCCTCCCCCGGGGAAAGCTGCTGCCATAGAGGGCAGCACTGAGTACAATGAGGAAGAATAAAGCTGATCTCTCAGCACCAAGACCAATCCTAGATGCCAGCTCCTGAGCAGACCAGGGCCTGGGGCAGTCTGCAGAGCCTGCAGGTGGGGACTCTGGCAGCACACAGGCTGGAGAAGGTCAGAAAGGAGAGTTGCTTGTATAGAACACCCATCTTTGGGTAACTGAGAAACAGAATAAGGCCCCCATTGTCCCTGTGAATATCTACCCTCTGGTACCCCCACAGGCCACCGCCAACCAGGAGAGCAGCCGTGCACAGCGGCAGGTGCTGGCTCTGCAGCAGCAGTGCACGGAGCACGTCCACGCTCTGGAGGCCCAGCTTGCTGCCCTCGAGACGGCTCGGGCAGCTGACCAGATGGCTGCAGAGCGGCAGGTGGTGAGTGAAGGAAGGAGTGCGGTTGTGCTGCTCAGCGCCAGGTTCACAGGAAGACCAGCCCCGCTCTGAACTAGGGAACCACCTTTGGGAGCAGTTTTTATCTTTCCAACTAGATTTCTTCTCAGGAGACGACATGTAAAAAGGCTGCTTTTTACAAATTCACCAAACAGATCACTTCTCCTTTTCCTTGGGTGGCACAGGGGCTCCCTGACCCATCCCATTAGCTTCATCCCCGTCTTTCTGAAATTCATTTCTTCCCTAGTGGCTTCTACTTTCTCTGGCTCCTCCCCCTATTCCAGATCTTCAGTCTCTTTCTTGTGAGGAGTTTGTCTGGTGGTTCTGCCTCACCCCATACTCATCTCCCAACAGAGGGGAGGGGGCATTTTTAAAGGTTCTCTGTCAGAGATAGGACTGTGGCCAGGGGCAATATGGTAAAGACCTTTTTATCCATGCTTTTCTCACTTTGCAGAGGGATCTGGAACAAGAAAATGCACTTCTAAAAGAAAGCAAGAATGAGTGTGAACGTTCTTTACAACATCACCAACTTGAACTAAAGAAGCTAAAGGTATTTAGCTCACTAGCGCATGCCTTTCGCTTGGAGAGCAGAGGAGCCAGCATTTGTTCAGTAGTTCTAGTAGGCATTTGCTAGAAATTAGCACCTCACTAAGTCCTCTCAGTGATCCTGGGGGGTAGGAAGAATTACCCTCATTTTTCAGCTGTCTTTGAGGCTCCAAGTGTAAGCCATTTGCCCAAGTTTCATAGTTATTGAGAGGTGGTGCTGGTCTGACTTTTCATTCCACCACAAGGCCCAACCCTTCCTCGGTGTCATCAAGAGCTGCCTGGAAAACCACGGTCAGAGCACCACTGTGAGTGACTTCCAGTGAGACGAGCAGAACACGGCTTCAGAAGGTCACAGGGCCTGGTTGGTGTGCATTGGGCACCGTGGGCGTAAATGAGGAAACAGGCTGCTGGATTGCTACCCTTCCCCTCTGAGAACGTGGTGCTCTATCAGATGCTGCCCCTTCGTTTCCTGGACATAACGGATGAGGAAAGAGAGACTCTGCCACTTTCTTATAGGCCTCCCGTCCCGTCCCTTTCTGTAGCGGGTGGTGGGTCTCTGTAGTCCTTGCTCGGCTTGGTCATGACCCAAAGATGTTGTGGATCCCTCGGCCAAGGTCTTCTTCAGAACACCATAGCTGAGGGCCTGCACTGGGTCAGCTTTCAGGAACAGTATCTGCTAAGTTCTGTCGGTGCTATTGCATAGAGCTGGATGTGAGGGCCTGCACCTTGGAGTCAGATTTGTGTGCATTCCTTCAACAAACATTTGAGTACCTGTAAGCACCATTGTAGATGCGGGGATGTGGCAATGAGCAAGACAAACACACCCTCCCTCCCTCCCCTGGTGGAGCTTGTAATTAGAGACAGTAAACAAGTGATAAATAGTCATAAATGCTCTGAAGATAAGAAAGCAGGGTGAAGGACAGAGCCTGGAGGAGAGGGTTTTAGCTATGGAGGCTGGGCAGCTTCAGTGATATTTGAACAATGAGGGCCAGCAATGTGAATGTTTGGGGAAGAAATATTCCAGACAGAAGAAATAGCAAATAGAAAGGCACTGAGGCAGAAAAAGCTTATTTTGTTCAGAGAACAGCATAAAGGTGGGTGTGGGTGCTGCTTGTTGGGCGGGGACAGCAGGGGAGAAGTGGGCAGGGAAGCCTGAGGCTCTGAGCAGAGCAGAGATGGGAGTTTTGTTTTAAAAGGATAACTCTGACTCTGTGGAGAATGGTTTGTAAGGAAGCAAGTGCAGAAGCAGGAAGACCTGCAATGAGGCTCAGACATTACTGTGCTCATAAATTTTGTCATAAAAGACAAGATTTCAGCAGAGATTTGGAAACTTTATTTATTTTAAAAATATTTTATTGTTTTTTTACAGAGAGGAAGGGAGAGGGACAGAAAGTTAGAAACATCGATGAGAGAGAAGCATTGATCAGTTGCCTCCTGCACACTCCCCATTGGGGATGTGCCCACAACCAAGGTACATGCCCTTGAATGGAATCGAACCCGGGATTCTTCAGTCCGCGGGTCGACGCTCTATCAGGAGGAGAAAAGGTCTCAGGCTGGTGGAACTGTGAAACCCAGGCCTGTGGGCCCAGAAGGGGAGGGGATACAGTGTCAGGCCTCTGCAGTAGCCTTTCTGGGAAGCTCAGGAGATGTTAGGATCGCTATGTCTGAGTCCCAGGTGCAGCATCACAAAGCAGAATAGAGAAGGGCGGGTGTGGGCTGAGAGCAGTAACTTAAAAGCCAGCACATGGGCTATTTAGAAGTGTGGTTAATTTCCAGATGTTTGGGGAATTTTCTCAGCGTCTTGGATTTCTAGTTTAATACCATTACAGTCAGGTAATACCCTAAGTGATTTCATCCTGATATTTTTTTAGACTTATTTTAAGATGCAGCCTATAGTCTATCTTGGTAAATATTTCAGTGCATTTGAAAAGAATATATTTCTACTGCTATGAAGGAGAATATTCTGTAAGTACACGGCATGTCTCGGAAGAGGACATGCCAGGTTTGTCAGGAGGTAATCCCTGCGCCCTGAGGAAAGGCCAGGGAGGTAGCCCTGCCCGGGTAGAAGTTACTCTGGGTGCTGGAGCCTGCATCCAAAGGCTTGGCTCTGAGCGCAGACAGGTGCTGGCTTGAGCAGGTTTCTTAACCTCTTAGAACCTCGGTTTTCTCTCCAGTAAAATGGGTAGGTTTGGTGAACCTGTGACATTTTTCCCTATTAAAATTCAGTAATCATTTATTATTTTTTCTGAAACCGAATTGTTCCGGTGCACTACACCGTTCACATGCGCCCAAGTCTCTCTGTTCTGTGTTAATTTCACCACACCAGCTCTTCTAATCCCGGGTCCCCCAGCTGTGGCTTGGGTCTGGCTGCTGAGCTCCTGTGGTGCTAGTTTCCTGAGAGGCTTCTGGGTTGTCCCCAGGGCAGTTCTCAGAAGGATACAGAAGGCACTGCAGTGAGAGGGCAGCCTGGGAACCTTGGGAAGCAGGAACAATGTTGGTCTAGCCCTGCAAGACAATACTCCCTCTGTGGGCTTCATGTGAAGTAGGAGCTAAAAAAAATAGCTGCTGATTTATTGACCTCAACCTCGACCCATTTCCTGATTTATAGGAAGAATGGAGCCAAAGAGAAATTGTGAGTGTGGCAATGGCTCAAGCCCTGGAGGAGGTGCGGAAGCAGAGGGAAGAGTTTCAGCAACAGGTAGGCTGAAGGGTCATGCCTTCACCTCTTGCCAGGCAGCAAATGCCTACCTCCCCATCTGTCCAGAGCAGGGTGTTGCCCAGGTCTCGGGAATGCTGGCAGCTGTGTGATTCCCTGGAAGTCTCTAGAAAAGTGGGAGGAAAAATGTTATTAAGGAACAACCACCCCACAGGGATGGCCTTTTGGACTTGTGATGGTCAGTTATTGTTACAACATCACCCTGGAAGGGCCCAGGCCCAGGCACCTACAGGGCTCTAATTCTGTGAGAGGGGCCACATCCCAGTGAGCTCTCAGAAGGGAGGGTGGAAAGAACCTTCCTTTGAAGACAAAGTCAGCATCAGCCCAGACCTCCTAGTGAGTTGGCTCTAGGCCTTGGGTAAGTTCGCAGTCTCAGAATTGCCTTTGAAACAACTCTAGGATAATTGCACTTCCAGGATATAATGAGGTCTGTATAGCAAATGCCACGCATGCCACAGGCACAGGGGACCTAGAAGTTATGCGTACAGCCAGCTTGCTAGAAGGCTGAGCAGAGTGCAGGCTAGAGAGGCAGTGAGGGCGAGTGCCCATCTGCAGGGCCCCTGCGGAGGAGAATTGTGTGTGCATGATTCTAGGAGCAAAGGTGAGCTTGGGGCATGTTCTAGGCTGCGGACTTCAAGGAGGGATTCTCCAGCGGCCTGGGGAGTGGAAAAGGAGAGAATCCTTGGAGGAGATGGGGTCACTGCTGCCCGCCTTCTCTCAGCATGGTTTTTCTCCAAGGCTGCTGACCTGACATCCCTAGTAGAAGAAAAGGAGCAGAGTCTGCAGGAAAGCACGGTTGCGATTCTCCAGAAAGAGGAGGAGATTCTCCAGCTGAAGAAAGGTGAGGGGTCTGCCACGTTCCTGCCCAGCACCCCCACCCTGAGGTGGCCCAGGCATGAACCAGCATGGAGTCACTGTGCTTGCCTCCTCTCTGCCCGGCTAGGTCATGACGCTGCCCTGCTGCAGGCACACCAGTTGCACAGTGAGCTGCAGGCCCTGAGAAACCTAAGGGCAGAGGAACCCGAAGCAGCCGCTGGGCGGGAGGACCTGCTGAGGCTGCCAGGCCAGGAGCAGGGGTTGGCACTCTCAGTCAGCGAGCTCCAGGTAAGTCCCATCCCAGCCTGCCAGGTCATGGTGTAGTGGCAGCAAGCCACAGGGCAAAGCTGCAGTCTGCCAGTAGGAGGCGGCAGTGGGCAGGCACAGGGAAGCTTGCTGAGTTCACTAGCTTAGGGATGCCTTAGCTTTCTAAGGTGGGGCCGCTTAACTGCCTTGGAGGTTGTGAGTCTTGAGAGGAGCCTGTCAGCCGTCAGGTGTTACAGCCCTTTCCTTCCAGGCAGACTGGCTGCGTGGAAAGTGGATTGTCCTTCTGGAAGGCGTTGGCCGGGCTCTTTGTAGTCTGTTTGGTTGTTGGCAGTTAGAGCACAGCAGTCCACACCTTTGGTCCTTGTCCCATTCTCCTCTTCCCTCCCTCCCCCATGGACCTGTGCCTTCGCTTGGCCCCTGTCCTGGCTCTCAATTTGCTGCCCCACCCTGTAGGTAACCTCAAGGTCGAGGGCTGTGCGGGAGCCTGCATACCAGCTTCCGCCTGCAGAGGGGATACCAAATGGTGAGGTGGGGGCCATGGACCTAGAGCAGCTACAGAAAGAAAAACAGGACTTGGAGCAGCAACTTCTAGAGAGGAATAAGGTAAGGGTACTCTTTATATCTGCCCTTCCCTGAAACTACTCAGTCCCTCTGAGAGTTTTGCTGATGCTCCTTGGGCACCTCCTGGGGAGATATTCTTTCCTAGGTTTCCTCTTCTGTTTCCCTCTGCATTTTAAAAAATATATATTTTATTGATTTTTTTTTACAGAGAGGAAGGGATGTGCCCACAACCCAGGTACATGCCCTTGACCGGAATCAAACCTGGGACCTTTCAGTCCGCAGGCTGACACTCTATCCACAGAGCCAAACCGGTTTCGGCTCCCTCTGCATTTTTGTCTTCCTTTTGCGCACCCCCAGGCTCCTCCCCTGCCTCTCATGTGAGACAGTGTCCAGGGGCTCCGCACTTGAGCAGCAGCAGATCTAGGTGTTCCCAGCCGCCTCTGCTGTCCAGTAGTGTCCTGTTGGACCCCTGTTCTCACCTCTCCGGTGGCCTTCCTTTCTACAGCTGTGAATGACAGCAGTGAGATCTTTGAGGCTGACATGACAACGTGAGCTGTCGTATAAAATTCCTGGTGTTAGGTAGAGGCTAATTCAATGTCATGATTCCACCCTCCCCAGCAGGCCTCTGCAACTGTGAATGCAGGTCACCTTTGATCCTGGTTTTTATTTTTTAAAAATATATTGATTTTTTTACAGAGAGAAAGGGAGAGGGATAGTTAGAAACATCGATGAGAGAATCGATCAGCTGCCTCCTGCACACCCTACTGAGGATGTGCCCACAACCAAGGTACATTGAACCTAGGACCTTTCAGTCAGCATGCAGGCTGACGCTTTATCCACTGAGCCAAACCGGTCAGGGCTGATCCTGGTTTTTAAAGTGCCCTGCACAGTTCAATGTATGGACTATGATCGGGCCTGAATCTTTGCCACCAAATTGTGTGATTGTGTGTGTGTCTTTTTTTTTTTTTTTTTTAGATCTTAAACAAAGGGAAAGTGTTCATTTTCCTTCTCCTTCCCCTCCCTTTCCCCTTTTTTCTCCCTCTTCCCCCCATATTCACATTTAACCTTTTCCTGTGAAATATAAAAGAGACATAGAAAAGTGCACAAATACTGTGTGCCCTAGGGCCTAGCCCTCAGACCTTTTCTCTAAATTGTACTCACTTCTTTGTGATCTCACCCAATCTACACGCTACCGGCTCCCACATCTATATCTCAACCCGACAGCTCCCATGAACGCTAGATGCCTGTACTGATTTGCTCTGTAGCTAAAAGGCAACTGAAGCTTAAAACATCCAAAACCAAACTTCAGATGTCCATGCTTCCTTGCATCTACTGCCATCTTTCCTACCTCAGTAAATGGCAAAAATCTTGGAGTTGCCCTCGACATCCAAATATTAGCAAATCCTTTTGGATCTCCCTTGATATTGTACCAGCTGCTTCTCAGCCCCACCACTGCTGCCATCCTTCCCTAGATGGTGTTGGGCTTCTTGTCTCCCTGTCACTCCTCTGATGACATGACTGTCCTCTCTAAAAAGCTAAGTCCTTGCTGTGGCCCACAAAGCCCTGCCCCTATTACCCTTTCACCGGCCCCTCTGCTATCCCCACTCCTCCTCAGGCACATTGGCCTTGCCCGCTGTGACTGTCAAGCACCATCAGGGCCTTTGCACTCGCTGAACCTTCTTTCTGGAAGATTCTTCTTCCATTTACCTTCACTTCCTTTATAGCAGCATTTTGTCAGTGGGCCTCCTGGCTGTCCCTGTGAGCCCTCACCACCAGAATTGCCTAGCTCCTTACCGTGCTCTTCTTCTCCATGTCTTCTGATAGCCTTTATATTTGGTTTTGACACTTTCCCCTCCTGAGGGCAGACATATTTTTGTTTGTTGATTGCTATTTCCCCAGCCTCTAGGACAGCCCATAGTAGGGACTCAGTATTTGTTGTTTAAATTAATGAATGAGCCAAAATCCTAGAAAATCAAGTAACATAAAATAGCAAATGTACTTTTGGAGTAATGTCTACTCTCTTGATCAACCAAGAAAATACACATTGAAAACAGCCCATTACCATTTTATTAAATGGGTGTGGTGGAGGCAGTTCAATGTACTTGACAAAACTCTCAGGATCCTCTCACCCAATCCTCTCCTTCCTCTAGGGAGGCTGTGGGGAAACCTCTCTTGAGAAAACAAAGCGTAGTACAACTTTGTTTAAAAATGGAAACCCAAGCTGAGCTGGTTTGGCTCAGTGGATAGAGCATCGGCTTGCGGATTGAAAGGTCCCGGGTTCGATCCCGGTCAAGGGCATGTACCTTGGTTGCGGGCACATCCCCAGTAGGGGGTGTGCAAGAGGCAGCTGATCGATGATTCTCTCTCATTGATGTTTCTCTCTCATCGATGTTTCTAACTATCTCTCTCCCTTCCTCTCTGTAAAAAAAAAATCAATAAAATATATATTTTTTAAAAATAAAATAAAAAAATAAAATTGGAAACTCAAGCCTTGGCCGGGTAGTTCAGTTGGTTAGTTTCATCCAATATGCCAAGGTTGTAGGTTTGGTCTCTGATCAGGGCATATACAAGAAGCAACCAATCAGTGCACAAATAAGTGGAACTACAAATCAATGTTTCTTTCTCTTTCTTAAAAAAATAAAATAAAATAAAGAATGGAAACTCAGCTACATGGGGATCCCCTAGTTAGTCACAGGGACTTCTAACTAACAGGTGTATGGGGACCCAAGAGTATTTGTCTATTCTGTTGTCCTTCCCCTTAAAGCTGATGAAATGTGCATTTACTGAGTGGCTTTTGGCTGGGGTGGGGTTTTTTTCTCAGGCCATAAAGCAGATGCAGCAGAGGATGCTGGAACTCAAAAAGACGCTGCAGAAGGAACTGGTGAGTGCCCTCCCCTCCCTGCTGCCTGTTCCCTCTCTGAACTCTGGTCCCCTGGGGTCTCTTGCTGCTTGATGATGCTTCCCTTTCCCCGCCCTCCCATTAATTGCAAGGGGTCTCTGCAATGTTGGCTGGTGGGACAGCAGGCCTGCCAGCTTGAACATGCTTCTATGAAGTGGCTGTGTGACCTCAGGCATATGCCTGCCTTCTCCAGCCTGCATGTTGTCTGAAGTTAGTGAGGTGATGGGTGCACCACACATGAATGGCAGAGTGCCAGGCCCAAACATAGGAGAGCAGGACCTCTGCCCTGGCTGAGGTGCTCACCGCTGCAGGGCATGTGTCCTGACAGAGGAAATATCTGAGCTTCCCCAGGGACCTTTCTCCCTCCTCTCAACTGTCCACCCCACCTGGAGGAGCTGAGCTTTCTTTAGCTGCTGGCAATTCCTCTTTGGGGGGTAGGTGGGGGTGGAGGGGTGGCGGCAGAGGACCAGCAGGTAATCCCAGCGTGGGTCAGGTGAATCTCCCATGTGATTTTCCTATCTGTCTTGAGCAGTTCAATGTAAAATCTTTTCTTTGGTTTTCCAGAAAATCAGACCCGATAATGAGCTTTTCGAAGTCCGGGAGAAGCCTGGCACTGAGATGCCCAACATGGCCCCTTCTGTCACAAATAACGCTGACTTGCCTGATGCCCGCGAGATCAACTTCGAGTACCTTAAACACGTGGTTTTAAAATTCATGTCCTGTCGGGAATCCGAGGTACAGGGCTTCTGAATAATTGCATTTGGGTACTGAGTTCTACCCGGGGCCTGGCTTATTTGTCAGAGTCCTGCATGGCTTCCCACCTCATCCATTTCTTCCTTTCTCTTTCACTTCCAATTGACTCTAAGTGTGGACCCTTGGTCATTCCTCCAGCCACCACTGACTTGCTAATTGAGCAGCAAGAAGGGGCACCTAGCAGGGAACTAGCTCCTGGGAGGGGATGTGGTTTGGATGCTGAGGCCAGAGTCAAGGCAGCTGAACCTGCCCAGCATTCCTGCATCCTCTGCAGAGCAGAGCTGCTGTGGATGTCCTGGTCATCTTGCAGTCCCCGAAGTAAAAGATGGAGGGAGAAAGAGAACCTGCCATTGCTGTCAGACCTCTGCATGGTCTTTGCTCACTGTTGGGAGCACACACCAGGAACAGAACCAGAAATGCTGCCATTTAGCCCCAGCTCCCACCACCACCACCACTTGGACCCAAGGCAGCATAAAACTTACTTTGTTTCAGGCCTTTCATCTCATAAAAGCTGTATCAGTGTTGCTGAACTTTTCACAAGAGGAAGAAAACATGCTCAAAGAAACCCTGGAGTATAAGGTAGGGTTCCCTGGCTTGCTGTCCAACTTCACAACATGCAGTTAGTGTCCCCAGCACTGGCAGGTGAGGGCAGCCCACCGCTGCGCATCAGCTCCAGAGGTGCTTCTGGATGAACTTGGCTCGGGCAGTACTTACTGAGCACATGCTTTGTGCACACAGGTCTCTGCTGTACTTGACCAACAGACCTTGTTTTCCAAAGCAATTGATATCACTTATCAGTAGCCCTACGTCTGGCCCAGCACAAAACAAAACAAAAAAAATATTTTAAAAGAACCTGAATAAGTTATGTAATAGAAAAAAAAAATAATAAGGAAAAGATACCTACAATTTCACCTGTTTTGTCAACTCAGTTTTTACTCGCTTCCCACCCATACTTAGAATGGGCTCAGCCCTACAGACTAGTCACTACAACCATTTTCACTGCTCTGGTCACAGCCGGAGTCAGGATGCATGGGGGGCAGGAAGGTCACCCAGGGGTGGGCTCTTTCACACCCTCTGCACCTACTCCTGATTCTCATCTCAGGAGTCTTTTCTGTTTCAAACAGATGTCATGGTTTGGGTCCAAGCCAGCTCCCAAAGGCAGCATCCGGCCTTCCATCTCCAGCCCTCGGATACCATGGTCCTAGATGGAACTACCCAAGGATGGAGCTCCGTGGGCTGACACTCTTTCTGTGAAAAGAACACTGACACACCAGTCTGGGTGGGTTTCTAATCACTGTATCTGCAGTATTTTGTACAAGCGTCTAAACATTGTTTACAAGACCTAAGGTCCACTTCCCTGCAGATTAAGAACCTCATGAGGCAGCGGATCCTGTCATTCTAGTCACAAATGGGAGGGTCCTGGTACCACCCACATTTCTTGTGCTGCTAAAATCCCAGCTCTGGCTAGCACGCCTGCACCTAAATTTCTAACTTTTGTTAGTACATAAAGCTGAAGCTACCAGCTTCTGGCAGAGGAGGCAACTGACCCATCCTGTAGTGACGATGCTGGACAAAATGCCCTTTGAAATGGTGCCTGTAGGCCAGACTCACCTGCTTTTGCCACCAGCGAACTCAGTGGGGGTGACTTTTAAAAATTCCCCTTCCTTGGTAGCATGAATGGGTTCAGATGAGTTAGAAGAGGCTTTTTAACCTTTCACAAAAATATTTTACTTTGTTTCTCAAACTACCTAGAAATTCAGATGTGTACATCTTTAAGATGCTCTAAAGCCAGTGTGGAGCAATGACTATGCAACTGACAGTATCTCGTTTTGTTGAAGAAAACAAGCAAATGTATAAAAAGATCCAAATACACTCAATTGCCTTCTTAATAAATGTACTTGTCTTGGATAGGTTGCCGGTAAACCACTTAAAACTATTTTTTATAGCTAAAATGTCTTCTGTATTATGAAACCCAGTTAGTGGTGTTCTCAAAGGAAGATTGGAGCATAGAGAGGAAATTATTTCGGAGGTTGGGATTCCTGTCCCTTTGAAACTTCACCAGTGTTCTCTGGCACCTGCTTCCCTCCGAAGCAGTGGTGGCGTTTCATTTACTTTGCTCTTGATTTTGGGGTTTAACACTGAGCAAGTGCTAATTACATGTTTCCTACTGTTAAGGACAGTCTGCTGTATCCAAAGGAGGCAGCAGCTGTCCCTCCCCCAGCCTTGACCAAAACATTGGAGGTGGCCTGCCATCTTTCTTCCTCACCCTACCCCCAAATATTTAAGATGACACTACATTCATATATTTCGTCCAGACAGCCCCTAGCTGGCTACAGGACTTGATACATGCACATGGCTCTGGTAGTGACTGACAAAAACTTGTATTGCTAAAGAGAGACCATGCTTGCCTTGGATAAGCCACAATGTCAAATCTAAAGGGAAACTGTTTATTGATTTAATTTGATAAAAGTTTTACTGGTTAAATAAAAAACTGAATTAGTAACTGGAACTCCTTTAAAATTTATTATCAGTTATCCTGTTAAGTTCTATTTCTCAATTACGCTTAGGGTTAAAATATATGAAATCGATCTCACAGAAAAACAAGGATTTGCAGAATTAACCTGCTACATTTCCACAGACCTAGAAATACCAAGCAAGGGCAGCCCAGGCTCTGCCATCCAAGTGACCCATTCACCTACCTGAGGATGTCTATCCTGTTTAGATGTTATTTTCCAGTTATGTGCTGGGGACACAAAACAGGAGTCCCTTCTGTTCTGTGATTTTGATGAGGAAGAGGTAGCTTTACCAGCTGTTCCAGGAGAGAACTCTGAAATCCGAGTAGTTCAGGGCTCTCCAGAGGCAGCCACAGCACAGCGTGGGAGTCCATCTGACTCCTCCGAGGCCTCCCCAGCCCTTGAGCTGGTCCCACCCCTCCCACACTCCCTGCAGGTTTAGGTATAGATGTGGGGCCATCATGAAGTCTGGACTTGTTTAGAGGATTCAGTCTGATTAGATTTGCCTCCTGCACACTGAATTTCCTTCAGCTTTAAGAGGAAGAGTGGAGTAACTATTCTGATTTAATGCACTTTTACTTGTATAAACATTCTGTGATAGAGACAATATATATGTACATATAAATATATATGGCCCTTTATATGAGCATTGGATATGGCTCTCTCCCTCCATGTTGTAAATAGGGATATTATCTCTAAGACTGCTGTAGAAAAGTCATTTGTGGTGCAATATACTTTTTGATTAAAGATCTTCAATGCAGAAGCAACTACAGTGGGTTTTACTTGATATGGTGTGCCAATATGTCTTTGACGTACTAAATCTAGTACATTGTGTCTCATATTCTTCAAGGGCTACAGGGCATTTGTCTTTCAGGAAGAACCTTCCCAGACTGGGTCTGGGTGAATAAATATGTGTAATTTAACAGGCCAGCAGCCTAGGCCTACCTCCCAAGCATGGTGGGGTCCTGCAGGAGTTGGAGGATTGGGTGCTTTGGTCAACATCTATCTCAAAGGCCCACTCGACTGGGGAGAGCTTCAGAACATGAATGGGTCCTTACCTTCAATAGAATGTAGGCTGGTCACGTGTGCTAAAAGGTAAGAAAAGGATCTGTGCTCTTCAAAAAGGCTCGTTGTTATTAGCTATAGGGAACAAAATGGGTTTTTATATTTATAGGCTAATTGCTACCTGTTTCTGGCTTTTAATCTTTTAAAGAGAACTTGTCGATTTCACGATAAGAATGTTGCTATCACACAGCCAAATCCAGTGTCAGGAGATGGTAACCATCTGAGACCTATTTACTCTCAAAAGAATCGAGTGCAGTCACACAAAACTAAAGACTTTTTAAAGCCTAGGGTAATTATTGAATGTTTGGCACTTTATTAAATAAGCTCCAAATTACATACAAATCAAAAGAGTAAACAAATACTTATTCAGCAAAACATCTCTCCATAGCAGCCAGTAGCACTGTAGCCCAGGCTTGAGGTACTGCTGTTTAAGAGGCTGGATTGCCATGCTCGCTTCCTGGGGAGTTTCCAGAATAATCAACCCCTCATTCATTACCAACCCATTCACTACCCTTTTTTTTTTTTTTTTTTTTTACATATATGAAACACACTGCAAAGTATATACTAATAAGCCAAGAGCTTTATTGATGCAGCAGGCACTTTACAATGAACCCAAGAGAGCCCGCCTTCTGGGAGGATGAGATGTCTGTACAAACCCTTGGGGGGTTTCCAGTTCAGAAACTCAAGCTCTCCCTTCCACCGCAGCCCTTGGATCTGCACCTGCCCACAGCATCCCTCCCCCGTTTTAAACAGGCAGTGCACACAGGGACACCTGACCAACACTGGCCAGCCACTCTGGCAGACAGTCACAATGTCAGTTCTGCATTATTCGTGGACAAAGGCATAGACTATCAGATCCTGCAAAAGGATTTAGGAAACAGTAAGACAATTTCTCCCTCCACCTTGAAAATAAAATACACTTCAGCGGATGCATGTCCTGAAAGAGTTGGGAGTTCTTAGGAAGATGGTCCATTGTCAATCCCTTCTTCACCAGCCTGTGCATCCAAAATTCTTCTCAAGGTAACATGAGTCTTTTTTTTTTTTAAACAGTCTTTCTTGCTGTAAGAACTCTTATAATGGAGCCTAGTCCTCCTACTGCTAATGCCTGTGGGGGCAGGAAAAGGAAACGTGTCACAGGAACCCAGGCGGGCAAGGAGAAGCCTGGCTTGCCAGGGGAGATGGGATGGTACACTCCCTAACCCAGTTCACTCTGTCACTGACCCCAAAAAAGGATTCTAAAAAGAGCACAGGCAGTTAGGAGAAGGTAACAGAGCCCTGTCCTGGAGCCAAGGTCCAGGAGTTGCTCTTCAGGCAGAACTGGGCTTGAGAACATTGTTACCAAGCACACACACAACAGAGCCCCCCACATTTCCCCTTTGACAAGCTCATTGTTTCCAGCCTGCTGGCACTACACACATGAACCAACACATGCCCGCCATCATTAGAAATGCCATTAAGGCTGAGCACCAAGTTGCCTTAAAGGGCCCAAAAGGCCTGGCCTTATTACCAGGCAGAGGGCTTGTTCACTTTCCCAAGCACCACAGCTGCCCCCACAAACCAAACCAAGGGCCTCCCATTCTTGCTGAGCAGGCGGCATACCCACCAGCAGGACTAAAGGCCACAACCCTAGCCAGCACCAAGGCTGCCAAATGACTGACCCCTCAGTAAGAGGATCGCTCCCTTAAAACACAATGGAGCATTCAGGACGGATGTCAGTGATAGCCTGGTCTCCGGTGATGGTGGGCGTGCTCCCTGTATTTCTACAGGGTGCGGGGACACTGACATATAGGCAAGACACAGACTTGATGAAAAGCCTGCTCTCATACCAACCCTAGCAAAGGACAGGCACAGCTCTTTCTGTTGCAGGTGGATGAGGGCCCTTTAAAGTGACTGTGAAGGTTTCTGCCTCTGCTCACTCTGGTCTGGTGAGGCTGAGGCCAGAGTGGGAAGCCATCAGAGCCTGCTGGAGGGCGCAGCTGCATTCCCAAGCACCCCTACCACTACCATCATTACCACCACCACCACTTCCACTTCCACCACAGCGAAAGTATTATGAAGCCCCAGCCACCAGCAAGCCTGCCTGTGTCCCACCTGGGACTCATCTACCTTACCGTGCCAAGTCACCTGCCCATGACCTGCCGGGCATACATCAGCAGCTAAAGCAACTGTGATTACCAGAGACAGTGGATCCCTACCGATGCTTTTTTGGCAGAGGTAACGATCAAATGTGCCAGGTTTGGCCCCTCGTTCTCATATGCCTATCAGAGCTTACCAGCTCGTTTTGGAACATCTAGCCTGCTGATGTGAGCCCTGGAGTGGGGCTGAGTCCATGGGCTGCCTGCACGGGCAATGTGTTCACATACCTTTTCATGCCACTGGAGTAACACTGCGCTGCTATTTTCTGTGGGCTTCTCAAACCCTTTATAAATGTACTTCATTAGCAAGTCAATGCCATTTTTGTCCAGTGATTGCACAGCCTGCTCAATCTCGCTGCTCTTAAAATTTGTAAGTACTTTCAGCACCACACCCTGGGCTCGTTCCTACAGAAGAAAGAGAAAGAGTGAGGCCAAGCCACAGCCCAACACACCCAGGCCCCCCACTGCTGGCACAGAAATACCAAGCCAAGCAATATGAACTCACCTGAAACTGCATAATTTCTAATCCGTCTAATCCGATGGTTAAAAAGTGGGGAGAAATCCTTTTACTGACTTAAGTTTCAAAGTATCCCTTATTTATGTCAATTAAATAACTTCATTATTTGGGAGGGAAGGGAATAAATACTTTACTGGGGAGAAACATCACTATTTTTTTTTTTTTTTTTAAATCCTCACCAAGGAGTGAAGAGTATTTTTTTCCATTGATTTCTAGAGAATGGAAGGAAAGGGATCGAGGGAGAGAGAAAGACATGAATTGGTCGTCTCTCACACACATTCTGACCCGGGTGAAGGATCAAACCTGCAATCCAGGTATGTGCCCTTGACCAGAATCAAATCTGTGACCCTCCAGTGCACAGTACTGAGGAACACCGGTCAGGACAAAATGTCACTATTTTTTATTATACCAGCAAGGTCTTAGAATCCAAAGGATCACAATGGTAGATATGTATTTTAAAAAAAACAAACAGGTTTATCTATCTGCAGCTTCCCTCTGAGCTCACCCCAGTAATAGAGGGGCCATTGCCTTCCATGTTTGAGAGGTGCAGCCATTGTACACACCCTTCAGTCCACAGGCTGGTGGTCTATCCCCTGAGTCACAAAAGGGCAAAATCCCAGCTTTGAAAACCCCTTTTCTCTAGATCAAATTTTAGCTTCAATGATGAGGTGTTAGACTCAGAGATGCAGTAAACACAACTGTATCTTAACTAGTTTATAAAAGGCAGGAAATCTTAAAAGCACTGAAAATCCTTAGGCAAATAAAGCCTATTCAATAGCCTATAAAAGCTTAACCACCGATAAGTCTCACATGGCAAGCTAATTTATAGTTCTGCTAATCAGCAAGGGCTGGACTGACTTCTCACCCCACGAGGCTCTGGGGAGGAGTGAGCCGTTTCTTTGGGGAGCTTTTACTATAAACACTGATAGCTTTGATGTCAGGAACACTAGGAGGCTTCCGTGGAAGCACTGCCAGTGCCAACTCACTCCCTTGGCAGATACTCACTGATGCAGAGATGCAACTGACACTGTCCAGAGCCCCAGGCAGCTCACACTCAGCTGGAGACAACGGACAACCACAGCCCAGGTCCCAACACCACCCAGCAGAGCTGCGGCGCAACCCCATTTACCTTCACAGCTTGATTCTTGGTGTTGACGGGAGAGTTCCGCAGGGCTGCATGAAACGCCCGAAGCATGTCCCCTGTGCATCACCACCAGTTAAGGATGGCTAGGCTCGAGCATGGCCATGACTTTGTTAGTGCACTCATCTCCAAAACAGCTCAAGAGGGTGAAGTCAAATGGCATCTTATCCCATCCAAGCACCTCCCACAGCGGCTTGCAGGTGGGCACACAGAGGCTGTTTAGAGGGTAGCCTGTAGCTTTCCTGAGCCACACAGAGGGTGGACACCTCTGCCTACGTTGCATACTCCTTCTGCCATCCCCTAAGCCTTCTCCCTCAAGCAAGTTTTTAAAGGAAATAGTATTCTTATTTTATGGATTGAATGACTGATTTCAGAGAGGAAGGGATAGAAACATCAATGATGAAAGAGAAGCATTGATCGCTGCCTCCGGTACACCCGCTCCAGGGGATCAAGCCTGAAACTCGGGCATGCGCCCTTGACCAGAATCAAACCCAGGACCCTTCAATCCACAGTCTGATGCTCTATCCCCTGAGCCAAACCAGCTGGGGCTCAAAGCAAGTTTGGACACACCTTCCCCCCATCCCTGGAAGATAGCAAAGCAAGTGCCCTCAAGGGGTATCTTCAGAAAATCTTGAGTTGCTTGCGCGGGCTCTGTCCCTGATTCTGCCCTGCTTGATACTAACAACCACCAGGTGAGGTTATCAATCTCACCTCATTCTCAAAAGGGAAGAACAAAGGCACAAACAAGGTCTTCTCATTCTTAATCCAATGTTTTGTATCAGTTAAACTATTACGATGTGCTAAAACTTCTATCTTCTGAGACCTCCCCCAGGCAGGTAAGGTCCCAACTGCTACCAAGAGGGAGATTTATCAATCTATAAGAACCTTGCCAACAAATGAGCCGATCCCCTTGCCCCCTATTCCCCAAATCTCAGCTGCAATCCTGACAGAGTCTTTGCCGAGTTCTGAATATCCAGCATTTAAAAGAAATTTATAATCTGGGTTAGGTCCCCAAAGGTGACACCTATTTTAAACTGAATTACATTAGCCGGCTTTCATTTCCTCATCTGAAACTTTGGCTTCAGCCAAAAAGCCTCAAAAATAGAACAAGGAATGGCTTCTGCCCAATCGGATTCCATGCAGCGGTACTCACTACAAACAGACCAGGCTGTCCTGCCGTCCCCAGTGGGGGCCCCCACACCACGCCAAGGCCACTCCTGCCAAGCTCCCAGCCCCCTGCTGGGCTGTGACCCACCTTCCACATGTGAGGCGGCCACCCCCCAAATGTGGAAGGTGGATCAGAGCCTGCTGCGTTCCACCCACAGACCTCGGAATGCCTCTTCCCCAGCCAGGCAAGGGCCAGTCCGGTATCAGCCACTGATAACTTCCACCTCAGGATTCTTTTCTAATTTGGTGTCCCAGAACAACAAGCAGAGACCCAGCGGCTTAACAGGACACACTGGCTGGCACTCTTCACTATTCAGCATGGGGTAACTAGCCCACAAGAGCAAAAAGAGCCACTACTTTAGTTAGCTCACTGTTGTGCCAGCCTCCCAAGCATTCACTTCAGGTGTTGATGGGAGTGGGCCTTCAGCAGGTAAGGAGATCTGGGAGCTGTGAGGGCATACCATTTATCAAGCTGGCCTCTGGTCCTTTCCGAGAACAGGCTGTGGAGGCTGGGGAACCATGTTCAACCCCGAGTCTCCTCTATGGCAGGGCTTCTCACCCAGGCACTACTGGCATTTTAACCACATGATCAATGTGGGGTCTGCCTATGCATCGGGAATATTTAGCAGCATCCCTGGCCTCTACCCGCTAGATCCCTCAAGTCCTGACAATCAAAATGTCTCCAAACATCGCCAACTTTCCTCAGGGAAAGGAGAGAGTGCAAAGTCACTCAACACCACTTCTCTGGACAGATCCCTGCTCCTAAGGACCAGAAGGTGCTCAGCAAGGAAAAGGAATTACTACTATTTTTAAATCCCTGCAAGGTCTCGGATCCTGTGCCAAGTGCTTTCACATGCTATTACCACAAACAACTCTGTGACCAGAGTCATCGTTCTTATTTTAAAGACAACGAATTTGAGGCTCAGAAGGAAAGTGACCTGTCCAAGGTCACAAAGCTAAGCTGTCCAGCTGGCCTTCAAGGCCAAGTACACCCGCCTCCAAAGCCAAGGTCTTTTTACAATCTCCTGCTGCCATCCATCCACAGACCCGTTTCATGTTCAAGACACATGCTGTGTGCCTAGCACTGCACTGAGGCCTTCTGGGACACTGGCCAGTGATGCTCCCACAGGACATCCAAGGCAGCGTGGTTCTCCTCCTTTTAACACAGGAGGATGCTGAGCGGCAAGGTCACACAGCGATGGCATGATAGAGCGGGTCCGTATGGATGCACAGCTAGTGTTCTTTTTAGTTCACCTGTTAACTCCCTCCACGACTCGCTTCCGTATACAGCGCCACGACATGCCTCCTCCCAGCACTTTTCCATTCCAATCAACCGACCCCTACTTCTACTCTCCTGTTCTGACTCCCAGAAGCCTGTTCCATAGTTTAACTTCAATAATGTGATATAAACCCAATACCTGGCCACACGGTAAGGACTCAGTAAATCTTAGTTCCTCTTGGACTTCAGTTTCCACCTGCTAACCTCCCTTTCCCCAGTCCCCAGAGGTACACCCTCCATGGTAACAAGCTTCCCAACATTACCAGCAGTGAAGAAGCTACGATCCCCTGGATGTGCCGAGCTGTCTCCAAACAGCCTCCAGAAGCCTTTGACTGGCCAAGGGCATATAAGACAAGACCTTTAAATCTGCCAGGACCAAGGCAGCAGATAACCAGACCTAGTCCTCCACATCGGTGGATGTTTCTGCGCCACAGGCCTGACCCTGCAGCCCTTTCGGCACCACCTGCCCGTGAAGGAGGGCCTGCGCCGGCCTGCAAAACCAAACCTTCCTTCGTGGCGTCTTCTCCTGCCACCATTTCACCCAAGGAATAAGCAAGGCGATCCCGATGGGGCAGGAAATACAAGTTTGTATTCAAAAACACGTTCCTGTCCAAACAAAGAAAGTCTGAAGGTTTTTCTTTTTAAAGGCACACCGGACTCCTCCCAGAGGCAATTCCCAAGCTGAGTCAACTGATTAAACACCCAGAACCTGATTTATATACAGCATGAGCCTCCAACCCTGCGCTGGCAAGTGCGGGGGAGGGGCAGGCACTTCCTGTAACACCATTTGAATAAAGAAAAATCCTTCCTCTGAGAATAAGTCAGTTTCCTGTGTTCAAGCTGCTGAGGGGCCAAGCAGGCTGTGACAGCCGCCTCTATTTTTAATCCTGTTTTCTAAATGCTAGTTTTCTACGGCCACAAAAATAGTCGTTTCCAGTGGTGGGGCTCTACTTTTACATTTCACTTTCTGCTCTCAGGTTTTTCTTAGCTCGAAACTACTAGTTTCCCCCCCCCCCCCCCACTGCTTCCTGCACAAGAAGGCTATGGGTGGGGGTGGGGGTGGGGGAGAAGAGGTACTGAGGGGGAGCCAAACTCACTTGTTGAACATGGCTGAGACCATCAAGGTCCAAACCCCAAGGTGTTCGTAGGAAGCTGAGAAGAGGTCGGAAGCAGAGGCGTTAAGCTGCAGGGTCAGGTTGATTTGCGGGTGAGAGGTGTACAACCTCCGTGCTCAGGGCTGTGATCTTTCTTCCCAGCAGCCATCCGCCCACCTATTTTCGTGCGGTGCAGAGCGATCAGGCCCAGGAAGACCGTGCCCAGGAGCCGCCCTGGCTGCTCAATTCATTACTCAGCGGTGGTTCACGCCGGCCCCTCCCGCCGGAAAAGCCCGAGAATGAATGACCCCATTGCCTGCACGGGAAGGATGGAGCGATGGGGCGTCGGGGAAGGGACAGCCTGAGAGGCTGAGCAGGCAAGGGGAGTAAGGGAGAGGCCTGGCAGAGCAGTGAGCAGCCCGAGGGGCTGGAGGCCAGCACCGCGCACTCCCGGAGCCGCCGAGCAAGCCGGCCGGCCCACCAGGGTCCGAGCACCGCGTGGGGCTGAGGTGCCGAGGGAGACTCCGGGGGGAAAGGAGGGCCAGGAACGAGAGGGTGGGGAGGCGGGTCAGAGGGAAGATGGGGGGATTGGGACTCACGGAACCTTGCCCGGGAGGGAGCCAGGTCGGAGGAGAGTTGGGAGACTGACCCGAGGGGGCCGGGGATCAGAGGAGTGGGGAGCCAGCCCGAGGGGCCGGGAGGAGGGGAGCGGGAAGGCTGGGCCACAGGGGAGCCCGAGACGCCGCGCCGGGGAAGGATATTGCCGCAGGAGCCCATCCACCTCGCTCGGGTCCGGGCCTGGCTCGCCGGCCGCCGCCGCCGCCTCCTCCTGCTCGTCCACGAATTTGTTCTCGTCAAACTCGTCGATGTCCACCCGGCGGAAGCGCGAGGACAGCGTGTTCCGGGCCATGGCGGGGGCTCGGGGCCCGCTCGGCCGGCTCCACTCCGGGCCCGACCTCAGATTCACTCCGCTCCCAACCGGCTCGGGGGCGGGAAGCGGCCGCCGGGCACTACCTCCGCCTCCTCCGCGCGCAGCCGCCGCCGCCCGCCCACTTCCGGTGCACGCCGGAACCGGAAGTGCGGGCGGGAGGCGGGACAGAGCCGTTGCGGGTGCCGCTGAAAGCTGTCTGCGGGCGGTCTTGCTGCCGACCCGGTCCCTGCCCCCCGCCCCGTCAGACTCCTAACTTCATTGCGCCCCAGGCTTCCTCTCTGAGCCGCGGGCGCCGGTCCCCGAGCGCCCAGCACCTCCGACGCCGCTCCTGCCCGTGTTCCTCGGCCTCCCTCCCGCATGCCGGAGCTCCGGCCCTGGAAGGGTCTCCGGGGGCCAGCACCCCCCAGACTGAGGGAGCACGGCCACCGCAGGAGAGGGCACCCGGCTGTGCCTGTCGAATGGCGGACAGGCTTCTCGGAGAAGAAACCTTCCAGCTGAGGGATGAGTAGTGATTCTTGTGCCCTGAGAGTGATGGGGGGTGGGAGAGCCTGGAATGCCGCCCACCACACCGGGCCGAGAGGAGGTGGCCTCTGCCTTGTACACAGTGACCGTTGTACACAGTGACCAGGAGAATGTAAAGACGTTTAAAGTGTGTCCAGTTGATAAGACAATGAAGACCTTTGGACTTGAGGGTGCGGCGGCCCTCGCATGTGTAGCAGTCACCTTGGCCAGGCGGGTGGTGGTGAAGAGGGGGAGATGACTCTGTGGCCATCATCCAAGCAAGAAGGCGAGGCTCTAGGGGCTGAGCAGTTGCACCTGACTGGAGACGCATTTCCTGGTAGGAAGCGCAAAGTCTGAGATGGGGGAAGGTTGGGGTGCAGGTGGGGCACAATCAAGGACGACTCTAGTGCCAGGATTAGGTGCTTGTTGCTTGAGGGGTTCCATTTATGGGCCTTAGCCTTGACCAAATTGGGTCTTTGTTTTCATATAATAGTACCCTTTAATAAAGGCCAGTAATTAGTGAAATGGGACTTGTTTTGTTGCTTTGAGTATTTCCCATTGAACTGTGTCTGCAGATCAAAAAACATGCCAAGCTATGCACAGTGCAGTATGATAGTATGAAGCTACCTAATCTTGGGTGATAAAAGACACAGACTCTTAGCCCTAACCGGTTTGGCTCGCGTCACCTGCGGACCAAAGTCCTGGGCTCCATTCTGGCCAAGGGCATGTACCTTGGTTGTAGGATCCTCCCCAGCCCCCGCCCTGGTCAGAGCATGTGCAGGAGGCAACCAATCATGTGTTCCTCTTGTCTTTCCCTCTCCCACTTGCCCTAAAAATCAATGGAAAAATATCCCCGGGCGAGGATTTTAAATAAATAAATGAAAATACGATACAGACTCTCACAGTGGGAAATAGGTGCTGAATAAAAGTCTGGGGGTCCTGGGAACAGGGAAAGCACGCTTGTCTCTCAGCTCCATACCTTGGAAGAAATCAAGCAGGCCACAAGAAAGCAGAAATTCACATCCCCAGAATATCCTGGTCAGGAGGAACTTTAAATCAGAAATGCCCATTTTACAAGTAAGGAAGTAAATAACCTCCAAATAAACTAGTGAATGAAATCATGTTTCTCCTATAACTGTGGGCCTCCATTCCAGCCAGGAAGGCAGAATTTTAAAAAACTGTACTGTACTCTGTCAGAGATAACTGTGCTGAGGGAGAACAACAATCATGCAGTGCCTGAGAGAGAGTACCTTAGATACAGTGGTCAACAGATGTCCCTTAGAAGGTGAATCTGATTAGGGACCTGATCGCAATGGAGGAAGGAACCAAGCAAAGGCCCAGAGGAAGGGCAGGCTTGGTGTACTCCAGAAACAGCGAGGCCATACTGGAGCAAGAGCGAGAAGAGATGAGATGGAAGTGGAGGAGATGCTGTATGGCTTTGAGGAAAATATGTGGTCTTAATCCAGATGGGACAGCCCTGGAAATTCTGGGCAGAGCAGGATCCCTCTAGCAGCTATATTGAGAACACCTGGGAGCAAGAGCCAACGGAAAGAAGTGATATAAGAGGCAACACCAATAATTGAGGTGACAGTCCATGGTGGCGCAGACCAGACAGGTGCCAGTGAGTGGTGGGGCTCTGGCCAATGTGCTCACTGGAGTGTCATCCGTTAACAGAAGGTTCAATTTCTGGACAGGGCTCATAGCTAGTTGTGGATTCAATCCCAGGTTGGGTGCATATAGGAGACAACTGGTTGATGTTTCTCACATCGGTGTTTTTCTCCACCTTCTCCATCCTCTCTCTAAAGTCAATAAGCATATCCTCAGGTGAAGATTTTTTTTAAAGTAGTGAGAAGAGGTCAGATATATTTTGAAGGTAGAATTTGCTCATGGATTGGATGTGGTAGCATGAAAGAAGAATGGAATTCACAGATGACTTCAAGTCTGGAAAAAATGTACACAATCATTAGCTCTAATAGAACTATAACCATTTGGGAAATAAGACAGGAAAGTCCCTGTGCACTATTCGACTTCCATTTAAGATGAATCTAGGCCATAATTGCTCTTTGTCTGCCATCTCCTCCCCATATCTCTCCACTTCCTAAAATTCTTTTTTTTTTTTAAGTAATTTTTATTTATTGATTTCAGAGAGGGAGAGAGAGAGAGGAACATTGATGATGAGAGAATCATTGCTCTGCTGCCTCCTACACGCCCCCTGTTGGGGATTGAGCCCACAACCCAGGCATGTGCCCTTGACAGGAATCAAACCCAGGACCCTTCAGTCCGAAGGCCGACGCTTTATCCACTGAGCCAACACGGGTAGGGGCTAAAATTATTTCTTGTTGTAGTCTGGGACAAGGCTTATTCATTCATCCAACAAGCACTCACATATTGTGTCTGGAGACTAGAAAAACAAAATCATGTATCACCTATGTTTCTGCCCCCAGAGAACTTCCAGGCAGGCTACAGAGACGACATTTTAACTCAGGATGTTTGGAGCTAAAGAGAGGATTGCACAGAAAACTTGGGACACGGGAGGTTGTGCTGGTTCACTCCAAGGCTGAGGTATAAAGAAGGGGTGGGAGAAGGCTTCCCGGAGATGACACCTGAAGCTACAAGGGGGCAACCTGGCATTAACAGCACCCTAAAGTGTCGTGTGTCTTTGTTAACGGCAGTGGAGTGACACTGGAGCACTGACTCCTGCTTGCTGGTTAGGGAAACAATGAAACTGCCCAGTTGGAAAGCCTGAATCCCTTCCTGCTTTGTGAATTCCCCTTTAACTTTTAGAGCCCAACTCCAGTGTTCATTCCACTGGAGGGAGCATTAATTCCGACGGTATTTTGATCGGTTGTTAGACGTCAGGTCTTGTGAGAAGAGTTTTAAATGTTATCTTCCTAATCCTCACATTTCACAGGTGAGAAAACAGACTCAAAAACGTATTTGCCGAGTCTCAGCTAGCACCAGGCAACAGAGCAAACATCTGAAACTGGGTCAGGTTCGCTAAAGAAGGCCATGAATGCTCCTTCCCCTGCCACATGGTCTCCATTGGAACGTTTAGGGCAGGTGTCGGCAACCTACGGCTCCAGAGCCGCATGCTGCTCTTTTGAAGCTTTACTGCGGCTCCGACAACTTGCAAGCCTGTGTGAAAATGAAGGTAACGTCTTACAGCCCTGATGTGCTGACACTGTGCACTGAGGTTCAGGAGCAAAAATCCCATTAACCAGGTAAATTAAATATTTTAATTAGCTATTAATTTGCAAAAATATATTTTACATTGTTAAGTGAAAAAGTTCTTTTTTTCCTTCAGATTGACAGCTAACTGCACTATCCGGTATATAGCATTAAGGTAAGAAATGTTATATTTGTTTTAAAACGGCTCCCAGGTTTTTCTTTTCCTTCGGAAACGGGTCCAAGTGGCTCTTTATGTCTTAAAGGTTGCAGACCCCTGGTTTAGGGAGCTGGATTTATGGTCGACCCCACCTCTCCCCTCCCACCTCGACCTTTAAATCCCTCCATCCCCAGAACGGTAGCACGAACTGGTCGGCTCCCTGCAGAGATTGAATGAACGAACAAATGACTAAATAGACCACGATGCCATCTCCGGTAAACTGCGTCTGCCGTGCCTCAGTTTCCCCAACTGCTCGGCTCGGGATGAGACCGGCGAGGACTACAGGGCTGGGCGGGCAGTACCACCCCGCTACTCGCGGCATTGGGGCGGGGCTGGAAGGGGCGGAGCCTGGACTCCCCTGCTGCGCCGCCATTGGCCGCGCCCGCTGTCACCCGGCAGTAGTTGTAAAGGTCAGCCCCGCCCCTTCCTCTTTCTCTCCGAGCAGGCGGCGGCGGCGCAGGGGTGTTTAGCCATGGTGAGAGCTCAGCAATCGGGAGCCATCCGCGCGGTGTTGGGCTCGGAGACTGGGGTTGGGGGTGCAGGGTGAACCCTGGGGTCCCATCTGCCAGCCGGGCCTGTGGGGTATGGTGCGGAACGGCCTAGCTCCGCCACTGCCGGCCTCCTTCCAACCCCGGCCGGCCTGGGCTGGGAGCGGGGCGGCGCGCGGCCGGCGGCCTCTGTCTTCCCGTCTGCGCAGTGGGAGTAGCGGCCCGGCCTCGTAGCCGACCTGGGCCTCGGAGACCTTGCGCCGGGCGCGCGTCCTCCTGGACGCGGGTGGAGGGGTGGGAAGGGCCGGAGGAAGCCTCGGTGAGCGGCGGAGGCGGAGACGGAGGCGCCCGGCTTTTGACACAGACCCTTCCCTGCCCGCAGGCCAAAATTAAGGCTCGGGACCTTCGCGGCAAGAAGAAGGAGGAGCTGCTCAAACAGCTGGACGACTTGAAGGTGGAGCTGTCCCAGCTGCGCGTGGCCAAAGTGACAGGCGGCGCCGCTTCCAAGCTTTCTAAGATGTAAGTGGCGGCGGCCGGCCCGCGGGCCTCAGGGCGGCGGGAGGGCTGTGTGCGCACCGGGAGCATTTGTGGATCCTTGCAGTTGGCTTAGGGAGGTGCCCGCTTAAGTGCCCGTTCAGTGGAGCTGTGGGTTGGAGTGTCAGGCCCTCTTAACCGGGCTCACCTGCTCACGGAACTCCACGTGCGAGGGACGCCCCCCTTTACCTGCCTTTGACCCTGGGGTCCTTTTACCTTGTTCAGCTTCTCTGGCTGGTGAAAGAACAGGGTTTCTCTTTGGGGACATTTTAATGCTTCAAAAAACCCAACGACGTTCTCTTTCATCTCCTGTCAGTACTTGATTAACCCCCCCACCCCCCTCCCCCCAAGTTGGTAGGTGGGTACCTTGCACCCTACTTGAGTTGTAGTGTAAATTAGTGATTTACATGTAGTAGTGTTTCCCAAAGTGTGGTACACGTACCCCCAGGGGGACGGGAAGAGTTTGGTGGGGGTACGCACTGCACCGGAGTTTGGTGGGGATATGCACTGCACCGTGCTTAGCTGCACCTAACTCTATGTTCTCATGAGTACGAGGGGTACTCAGCGTTACGAAAATTATAGAAGAGGTACACATATGTCAAAAGTTTGGGAAACACTGATGTAAGGAATGTGTGTTTGGAGTCAGTTAACCTGGGCACAGATTCCTCTTCAGCCACATCCTGCCTGATGGGTAGGTTGGCTAACCACCAGTGTTTTTTTTCTTCTTCTTCTATGAAACCTCAATAACCTTCATATGGTGGTGGGAGGATATTGGGTGAGTTTGGGAACATGTAAGCAAGTGTCATGCTGAATCCTCAAGGCCAGGTTTACCAAGCTGTCGACTGAGTGAGCCTCCCCTAATCCTCCAACGTGACTGCAGAGTCACCTGGTTCCTGGCTTCAGGCCCTCCTCTCCTCCAGTGGCCCCTGCTGTGACTCTTAAGCGTCCCTGGTTGCCCAGCTTGTGAATGATTCTTTCTGGTCAGCTCATTGAGATAGGCATTGGTTAGGTCGGCTTCACAGCCCTCGGGATGTATGGCCTGGGATGGGGGATCTTTCCTCGTCAGCCCTCCATCACTCCTCATTAAGCCTCCTCCTCGGTGGGACACTTCACAGATCCTCACAAGCACGGGACACTCCAGGCCTTCCCTGGTCACAGATTCCTGTACACTATAGTCCTCCGACCTCACCCTCAGAGCACCTTCCTCCCGGGCTGAGCTAAGTGCATCTCGGGAGGATATGGATGAGATCTGGGTCAGGCCGGAGTGAGATGCTTTGGGAGCAATGTGTTCACTGTTGTATCCGTTTTTTTATAGCCGAGTTGTTCGCAAGTCTATCGCCCGTGTTCTTACCGTCATCAACCAGACTCAGAAAGAGAACCTCAGGAAATTCTACAAGGTGAGTGGGGGGAAATGCCTGGCTCTAGGGAGCAGTTCCAGCCCTCGCTGGGGGCGCTCAGTGTGAAGAGGTTCTGCCTGTGGGTGTGGGACAGAGCTTCGTCCAGGCATCGCTGGGCTTTCCAGACCCGTCCAGCTTGTAAATGGTTTGCCTTTCCAGCATCTTGCTCTAGGATATGGTATGTAGGCTGCCTTTCCTCGGGGCTGCAGTTGTCAACAAATCAGCAGTGGCAGGACTGTGGCTGGACACTTGGGTTTTGGGTGCAGCCTCACCCGCGACTGAGTTTGTGCAGGCTGAGGACTGACTGCTGAATGTTTTGTCTTACTAGTGCTGGGTGTCAGCACTGCCAAGCCCCTGACATTCTTGTTTTTCGGGTGAGGACCTCAAGGCTTAAGAGGTTAAGTTGCTCAGAGTCACCTGCAAATAATGGAGTGAATGGGCTGAGGTTCAAAACCACGACGTGGGGAGGGATGAATGGGGTGCTCCTGGGAGATTTCCACAGGTGTCTGACCCCTCAGCCTAGGATATTACAGCCATTTCCTAGTCCTAAATTAGTCTCACCAGGGTTCCAGCAGTGAAGGCAAGCCAGTGAGATGCTTTGTACATGCGTGTATGTGTGTATTTGCTTTGTTTCAGGAATTGGCTTATGTGGTTTGAGGGCTGGGGGAAGATTGTGGCAGGCTGGGATTCATGGCACAGGTGGGAGCTGCTGTCCCGCAGGTGGCACTTCTTGGGGAGCCTCATCCCTGCTTTAAGGACTTCAGCTGGTTTGATCAGGCCCACCTAGATTACCCAGGATATTCTCTCTTATTTAAATGAATGGATTGATTAGTGGCTCTAATTACATCTACAAAATGGCTTCACATCAACTCCCAATGCAGTGTTTGAATAAGGAGGGTTTGATACCAAAAAGGCCATCACGGTGTACCCGGGCTAGCCTCCCAGGGACACAGCTGTGGGGATGTGTGCACATCTGTGTGGGGACGTTTTTTCTCAGGATTGAGTCTGGAGCTTTCATCCGGCTCCGAGGGGACCAGGCAGGGGGGGTGGCCTGGAGCAGCAATGGACCTGTGGTGACGGACGTGTTCTGTGTCTGCTCTGTCACCAGTCACCTCCCACCACAAGTGCCTGTTGACCACTTAATGTGACGATGGTGTCTAAGGACTGGCTTGATATAAACAGGACGGGCTGGTGGCTATTCTGTTGGGTAGCAGAGCTCTATGGACAACGTTCTGACTTGTGCCCTGACGTGAGGGATGTGGGAGGACAGACTTGAATACTAACAGGTTCCCTCCAGCGCTTCCTCATCTCCTGTTTGGCCTTTTCCGCAGTTCTCTGCCCTGTGCCTACTCCTCCGGGCTGTTGGTGGTTCCCACAAAGAGCCTGAGCTGTCATCCTTAAGGGGTTTTGTGCAGTTTTCTCCCCCGTTTCAGTTGGCTGCTTCATTGCTTTCAGGGCTGTAGCCAGTTGCTGGGTGAAACCTCCTCCCCCACCGATGAGCCACTTACTGTCTGTTCAGTCTTCCCCACCGAGCTGGGAGCTCCTCCAGCAGGGACCAGGCCTGCACCCAGCCCAGGCCCCAAGCCAAAGAGGCCCAGGGAACCTTTGCATAACAAGGAGAGAGCATGAGAGCTGCCTTAGTCCAGACCTGCTCATTGGAAGCAAGTGGGACAAGAATGAGAGCCAGGGAGGGAGACACTAGGCCCAGTGAAAGGTCTGGGAGCAGGTTTGGTGAGAGGCAGGAAAGGAGCTTTGCCTCTGGAATTCCCTTGGCCAAGCCAGAGCTTCCCTCTGGGACTTGTAAAATGGGGACATAATTACAGGGGACACCCATAGGTACCTGGCAGGCACTCCAGATTTATCCAGTACCAGCTTTAGCCTCAGCCTCTCCCCCACCCCTACACCATACACAACAGCTTAATTTAAGCCAAAAAAACTGACCACCCAGTGCTTGCTGGGGGCCACATGCTCCCTCCCCTTACTTGGTTGATGTGATGTTGACTCCGTGGCAGGAATTAGGCTGGCGGGAAGAGCACTGTTTAGGGAGTTGGTTGATTTAGGTGCAAATCCCAGTTCCAAGACAGTATTGGTGAGATTCTGACAAGTTCACTTGCTTTTTGACTCTTAACTCAAACGACTTTTTTTTTTTTTTTTTTTTTTTTTAATGGGGATGATTCCCCCCCTCCCTTCCACCTTGAATTTGGGGGATTGTATGAACTAGTAAGCAAGAAGGGTGGTCTGTCCCATTCCCATGGTACAGTCCCCTGCTGTGCTGGATGTCACAGCTCCTCACTCATGTCTACAAATGAACCCCCCCAGCTCAGCCATGCACCTTCCTCAGCCACCTCCCAGTCTTCCCAGCACCATCTCAACACGGGTTCCAGCCTCTGGGGCTTGCCTAGCTACCGCAGTAGCTCCTGAGCCCTGGTCCTCAGAGTCCCCGCTCCCACCACCAGGGCAAGAAGTACAAGCCCCTGGACCTGCGCCCCAAGAAAACCCGCGCCATGCGCCGCCGGCTCAACAAGCACGAGGAGAACCTCAAGACCAAGAAGCAGCAGCGGAAGGAGCGGCTGTACCCCCTCCGGAAGTACGCGGTCAAGGCCTGAGCATCGCGGCGTCAATAAAGCACAATCTGGCTGTTGCTTTGTGTTTGCAGTTCTTTTAACCGGGCCGGAGAGGGGGGCTGTGGTGGGGCCATGATGGATCTGCCGGGTGCTCGGTTATGGTTACTTTGGGCCTGTGGTATGGAACGGCCCTGGGCAGGGAGAGGCAGGGGCAGGAGGCTTGAGGGCCTTGTGTGGTGATGGTCCATTGGAGGCTCTGGGTGGTTGGTCATGCAGGGACTTGGCAACTTGCCTAATCCACAGCTCCAGACACCAGGAGGAGTTTCCCATCGGGGGTGAAGGTGCAGGCGTGGGCCACATCCAGGGCTCCCTGCCAAAACACATGGTGGGCTCTGAGGGTGCGAGTCCTGTCTGAGCCCAGCTTCCTGTGCACCTCCCCCTGCTCCTTTGGAGATGAGAGTCACAGGCCTTACCTTCAGGGTCTCGATGCACTTTCCTGTGTTGCAGTCCCAGACTTTGATCTGGAATAAAATCAAGACAGGGAGGCCTCCCAACACAAGCCATTGAATCACCTTGGGGGTGAGTCCTAGCTAACATCCTACTCTTTGGGTGGGTTTTGCTTTTGAGGTATATTTAAGATGCCTGCCGTAATATCTGATGCAAAGATGCAGTGCAATGCAGTTTCCAAATCCCCCCTCCCCAAGCGGTAGGAGTTTGCTAGGCGGAGGGGCCAGGCGGGTGAGGTTACCATTGGGGAGTAGCCCGCGCTGGCCAGCTGCAGCCCATCTGGGGAGAAAGCTACGCTCTTCACCCAGGTGGCATGGCCCTTGAGCTGGACAAGCAGGCTTCTAGTCGAGGGCTTCCAGATGTGGACGGTCTTGTCCCAGGAGCCAGATGCCTAGACAGTGGATAGCTGTTGGAAGCCTGCATGTTCCCTGCCCCCAAGTGGCCCATGACCCTCCAGGGGTCTAGCTGCCAGCAAGGGACCAGCCTGGAACCCAGGCAGCCCAGCTCACCAGCAGGCCAGATGTTGAGTAGCACAGGCAGCTGACGTTGCCACTGTGACCCTCCAGCTCCTGGTGGAAGATCACCGGGGTCCCTGTCCGAAGGTCCCAGATGCGAATGGTAGAGTCCCAGGAACCAGTGGCCTGCAGACAGCGGCCATGAGAAGGGGCCAGCTAGCCCATGTCCACCTTCCCAGTTTCTAGGCTGGTCAGGCTCAGAAGAGCCAAGTCATCTAAGTCAAGGTCTAGAATTCTAACCAACCACTGCTCAGTCCCAAGTGAGAACGTGGGTGTGGTACTCTGTGGGGCATGGGCTGCGGTGTGTGGCTCACCAGATAGTCTGAGCTGGGTGCGAAGTCACTGCTCTGGATGGAGTCTTGGTGCCCTGCTAAGTGGCGCAGCACCTGGCCAGACTGAAGGTGAGAGCCCTGAGCTTCGGAGCGCAGCCCAGAAGCCTCAGATGGGGCAGACCCAGACCCTCTGGGGGCTGCCTGGGTAGTGTGTGGCATATCCCAGAGTCTGGATGACTTCCCCAGGCTGAGGAGAGGGCAGTCGGGCAGGGGGAATCTCATGGGTACGGGGTGGGGTGAGGTGGCTGTAGCCAGATGCTAGGGCATCTTGGTGTGGGTGTGGGTGTGGGTGTCCTCACCCCTCCATATACCTGCACCTCCCAGAGCATCACCCTCTTGTCCCAGCCACCCGATGCCAGCTGCTTGGAGTCTGGGCTGAAGCTGACTGTCTCCACACTCCGCTGGTGACCTACAAGGTGCACAGGACACAGCAAGGTCCGGAGGGGAAGCCAGGCCTGGCTGCCTGGCCCGCAGCCCCGCCCAGCCACTCACCCTTCAACACCTGCAGACACGTGGCTTTCGCTGTGTCCCACAGGCGGATGGTGCGGTCATAGGAGGTGCTGGCGAAGAGGCGGCCATCGGGGGAGAAACGGCAGAACTTCACAGGGCCTGGGTGGGTGGCCCTCATCAGAGAACGAACCCCCACTTCTGGCCCTCCACTCTGGCACCCACTAATTTCTCCAGTCCCATCGCTACCTCACTTCTAGCCTACACCAGTCACCTGGGAATTCCTGGGACACCCAACCCCACACAGTCAGTGCCAATCAAATGCAGGCACCTCCCAGAAGCTCCCTTTCAGCCCAGCATAGGTTCATGCCTCCTGTGAGCTCCAGCCCCCAGGTTTTCGTATTACAGCATTAATCAGACTGCCCTATAATGAACCAGAGCTTTCTCTTTATCTCCTTAATTGTAAATTATATCTCCTGAGTACTTACGGGGTACTAGGTACTTTCCTTGCATTTTTTCCTCCTATAGGGTAGCAACCATTAGCCCATTCTACAGAGGAGGAAATAGAGGCTCAGGGAGGTGACATTACATAATCACAATAGGAGATAAAACATAAAAGAACCTTAAGGGCATTATGCTAAGAGAGGTAAGCCAGTCACAGAGAGGAATACTGTATGGCTCCCCTTGTACAAGGTACTTAGAGAAGTCCAATTCTTGGAGACCGAAAGCAGAATGATGGTTGACAGGGTCTGTGGGGAGGGAGGAAGGGGATGTTTAATGGGGTTAGAGTTTCAGTTTTGCAAAAAAGAGTTCTGGAGGCTAGTTGCACAACCGTATGAATGTAGGCAACACTACACTTATAAGTGGTTAAGACTTATAAATATGTACATTTGTAAATATGTACATTTATAAACTTTTTAAAAAATAGGATCTGAATCCCGTTGGCGGGGCTCAGTGTTGATCATTGACCCCTGAACCTGGAGGTCAGGGTTAGATTCCCCCTTGATCCCCAGTAGGGGGAGTGCAGGAGGCAGCCAACGAGTCATCATTGATGTTTCTATCTCTCCCCTTCTCCCTTCTCTCTGAAATAAAATAACTACCTAAAAAAAAAAAGGAAGTAGGATCCGAGTTCAGGTCTGCCAGTCAGGGCCCAGGCAGCATGGCTGTCTCCTTGCCCTGGTGCCTCAGCCCCGCCTGGGCTGTCTTGCCTGGGCGCCCAGCTCAGACACTGGAGGTCACTGCAGGCCTTCGCCTCCCCATCCAGGTTGAGGAGCCCACCTGTGTGGCCACCCAGCCGCCACAGCAGGTTCCCATTCTGGGTCCTCCAGCCGTACACACAGCCGTCCTCAGAGGCCGTGAGCAGCGTCTGGCCATCCGGGGAGAAGGCGGAGAAGTTGACCTGGAACAGAGCACAGGCGTAGTCCCATCACAGGGCAAGAAACACCTGCTGTTCATTCGGACCCCTGGACCATCCCTGCACTGCCCCCCCTCCCCCAGGAGCCTGGGGTTGGAGCCCCCGCTCCAGGCCTCACTCTGCAGCCGGAGCCCAGACCCAGGAGCCACTCTGCACTCAGAGCCGGGAGCCCGGAGCTCTCCCTGGAGCCTGAAGCTGAACCTCACGGCCGCCAGCGGCCGGCGCCTTCTCTAGGACCAGATTCGGAGCCAGGAGTCCATTCTAGAGCTGGAGTCCAGAACCAGGAGCTCACTTTGAAGCCAGAGGCCAGAGGACAGGGGTTTGAGGCACCGGAGCTTAGACCCTCCAGCCCATTCTGGAGCTGGATTCCGCTAGGGGAATCCGGGAGCCCGGAGTCCGGCAGAGCCCGCGGGCCTCACCTCGCCGCGGTGCCGGCGGAAGAACTTCACCCTCTCGATGACCAGCCTCCCTGGGGCCTTTCGGTTCATGGGCCCCAGGCCGGCTCCCTCGGGCGCCCCCCGGCCCGCTGATGGGCTGCGGGCCGGACTTGGGACAGGGGGAAGGGGAAGGGGAAGGAGGAAGGGAAAGGGAAAGGGAAAGAAAAAACTGTGTACAAATGGTCTCCATGGCAACCGGGGGGGGGGGCGGGAGCGCGCAGCTGCTGTAGGGTCTCTGGGAGAGACGTTCTCAGCTCCCTGCAGGTGGGCCTGCAGTGGACACCGCGGCCGCCAGAGGGCAGGCCAGCCCCACACACCGCGCCTGCCTCTCCCGCCGCCGCTCAGAACCCGTGCACAGTGCCTGCCCATCAGTTTGCAAAGGTCCCACAGACTCCTGGGGAGGAGCCTGTTCCCCATCTGCACAACGGGTAGGGATGATCCTAGTAGATGCCCTGGAACCAAGACCCTTTCCTCTAGGAGCGGCCAGTACTGAGGCGAAGGGCTTCCATGGAGAAGGCTGGAGATGATGCCCACATCTGCCCTCCGGGAGGTGGGGACCAGAGGTGGTGTGTGTAAGCACGGGCACTAACAGATGGGGACGCTGTGGTTAACATCGCCAGCAGCAGGAAGTGTGCCCAGGGAGGGAGTGGGGGTGGGCTGGGGTGGGGGAGAGGCCCCGGGAGCCCGTCAGGATGCTTGTTGAATAGTTCAAGCTGAAACTGGGAAAGAACAGGACTTGGTCTCAATGTCCACTTTACAGATCAGGAAACTGAGACCCCAAATGAGGGGACAGCCAAAGGCCACTCAATCAACAGGAAAGGAATTGAGACTTGCCCGTGTCTGCCTGACTCGGGGGGGGGGGGGGGGCTCTGTTGGGAGCGCCTGCCATCAATTCCAGGCCCCACAGCCCCGGGCCCTGCCTCCTGGGTCATCTGAGAAGCTGAGGTCCCGCGGGTGCAGGTTGGCCCAGGCACCCAGCACCTCCGAGGCAGAGCTGGGGCCGGCCCCCTTCCCGCAGGACAGGGCAGGGCTGAGACACCCTCGGCTCCATGGGCTCCGCGTCCCGTGGATTCCAGACTCCCTGGGGACGGGGGCGGGGCAGCGGGCTTTGGGAGCTTCAAACTTGAGGGTTCCCAGTGGTGACTCACACCCTTCCTCCCAGATCTCTCTGCCAGAAACCCTTCTCACGAGATCCCCTGCCCCTGCTCTATTTTAGGCCCCAGACAGGCGGGCGCGAGAGGGGGTGACAATGGTGGCTTTGAGGCAGCCCCGCCCCCATGCTAACTCCCAGGGGGCCCAGGCCACTGAACTGACTCCTCACGGACCTGTCTGAGTTGGGCCTCTGAGAGAGGCAGCCCCTCACCCCTAGACATGGGTCCCAGACATGGTG